AGCACCAAGTCTAACATCATCTCAAACTGGTGTGTTCATGGACCGTGGGACAATGTGGAGTGATGGCAAACACATTAACATAATCATATGCAAGGGATGGGAGGGTCACTTTATGAAATGTAACCTGATTACTTTCCGTTACTTTTGGATTACCTTAATATCAAATTAAAAGAGTTTGTATTCACTATTATGTAAGACAACAGAACAATGTGACCTTAGAAAAGAGGGAACCAAAATATTTAAGATAAAACATGTGTCCTCTGAAATAAACCCAACCCTTTTAAAACAATCACAATATGCCTCTTTTGTTTTTAGTAATATATGAATCGTGCTAGTACTTTCCCAAATATAACAGTAATCTGATTACGTCTTATTTTGTGTAAATGTAAGGGAATACAGTTACTTGTTTTGTACCCTGATTGGGTAATCTTGTGATCCATTACATCCCTGGTCTACATATATTACAATAATATAGACCAATCATAAGTAAACATTTGTGTGGATGAATTACAAATCACACAAGATGAATCTGACCAACCCAAGTTTCCTCTTTGGCCACTAGGTGTCATTTACAGTGGGGACATTTAAAGTATGATTTGTTAAAATTGTGTTTTGAAAAACAGCTTGCACAAAAAAATGAAAACCAAGAAGTGAAACATCTTTCATAAAAGTTTTTTTGCACAATAAGAACACATAAAATGCAGTGTAAATATAGAACCAAGGATTCTCATCAACTCATTAATCTCCCTCTAGCTTACTCATTTTAAATTGACCCAAAAATCCTCCATGATTTCAAACCTTTATTTAACCAGGTGGTCCAATTGAGACCATCTGTCTCTTTTTCAAGGGAGACCTGCAATGATCAGTAACCCTTCACATTTCTTGACACTTGTTTCTTCCTAATCAAGGTATCTATCATCCTACAATACATTAAGGAAGGTAATTGTACATTGCATTATTACATTTTTGCAGCAAAATGTGTGTCATATTTTAGGATTGTTGTATGCCTAACACAACATACTTGTACTAAACCTTTGTACTTTTCAAAATAAAGTTCCTTAAAGGATTACGTAAGGTGTGTTCATTGAGCATGTTTAAAGTGGAGTGATGGGAAACAACTAACCCATATTATCATCATCATACAAGTAATCAATAATAAATAACTGTTTCTTTACATATGTGTCATATTTCAGGATCACACCAGTGTCAAACCCTTTCCACCTTTTATAAACCATTGCACTTTTCAAAATAAAGTTAGGGGAGCCTGTCAGGTCCAGTTCTTCTGTTTGAGTACAAAGGCTACCGGTCAAGGAAAGTCCTTTGGAAGTTATAAATGTTCTGATTGCCATTTTATTTATTTATATATTCATAATGTTATTCTCTAAATGGTTTGTAAACCGGATGTATTCACCTCTCAAGTAAACTGAAACTGAGGGGGGGGGGGGGAATGTTTCACCATTCATCAAACTCTCCATAAGATGGCGCCAAAGCAAACCTCTCTCTTTATCATGAGTTTGTGTGGTGGGTTTTATTGTATTGTAATACTATTACCTTGTTTAACATGTTGTAAAATGTGTGTTTATCTATTTTTTGTGTAGCAAATTGGTCCATTACAGTGTATTCTAGCTTAATGTGTATGTCATATAGTATGTATTTTATAAATACTCTAGAGTATATTTTCTGTTATATAAGGTTTCTATTTTATTGTATTTTTAACTTGTAACAAAACAAGTCAAATATGATCACGTCTAATCTATGTTCATTTCACAATAATTGTCCCTTTCGGCACAGTAATGCTCTAGTGTCATTGTGCTTAAGAGAATAAATAACATTTGAATGTTTTCCCACTTTAATACGAATTATTACATCACTATAGTTTTAAGAATTGTTCACAAAGAAATACACATCTCAAATTGAAATTGTTCAAACCTTTTATCTCTTAAAACAAACAGTAATATTCTCTTGATGGCTACAAACATTTTAAAAAGTGTCTTTAATTAAAATGTGCACTTTCTTGCTACCATATCAAATATATAGTTAGAATGATGATTAGGTCAGAATGTATTACTTGTGCTAAAAACGTAGACATGTTGATAGAATATCTTTGACTGATAAATATACATGGTATAATAAACACTTTGTCAGGATGGAATTGAACAAACTGATTGTAATCCCCAGCCCCACCACAGGGTGGCAGCAGTCAATCCACAGAGAACATGAATTGTTAAGGACTCACACACAGAGCTGCTGTGTTAGAAGATGTTAAAAAATACATGGTAGTCTACCATCATAGTTTATTGCATTACATAACTTCAATCATTGAAATATTACTTACCATGATGTGTACTGCAACAACAACAAAAGATGGAACCTACGGAATGGAATTCTATAATCTGGCATTTAGCATTATTTTCTCTCTTTGAGATTATTGTTTCGTTTTGCATGAAACTTATTCGATAAAGATACAATAACAAATATATGTTTTTTCAGCAATATTCTAAAATCTAATAGAACAATCTGATTGCTGGAGGGAGCACATAATGATGCTGACTTCCAGGTCGCCCTAGAAGAAACATACGTCATCACTGCACCACCTGTATTAGGATGCCAGAACATAGTGAAACAGAGTCATTCAGAGTCAAATTCACCAAAGTTAACATCGATCTGTAGTTGTTTGTAGGGTTCAGTGTAGGCAGGAAGCTTTACACACCTTTTCCACAGCAGCTCCTCTCTTACCTTGAGTACTGAAGAAGTTGGATGCAAGACAAATCTGGAAGTTCATTCTTATATAGCAATAAAACCTCCCGTCTTTCTATGTGTATATCCCAATCACATTGAAACATCACACATATCACTTTGTTCACAATAATCGGGACCACTCCGTCAGAAAGCCATGATCTTCTTCCACACAGTCTTTTATTTGTAAATAATAAAAATGAACTCTTGAATATAAAACATACACATCAGTAGAGCCACATCTGTTATACAAACAAGAACTGTTGCAGTGAATACTTAGTCTTTCGTCTAAAATCGTGGTTTTTGGGAGGGGGGGGGGGGAGCCATGGGCTGTAAACAATCAGTACTCCTGGAGTAATACTGACAAAGGAAAGGGCAGTCGGCCACACCGCCAAGGGTTTCAACAGAAACATCCGCAACGTATGTCTGCAAAATCAGATTCTCATTGGCTTTAGAAGTCCAGTCCAAACCAAGAATGATAAACAGGGGGGTGGGGGGAAGGGGACTTTGAGGAGAAGAAATTGTTCCAATTGGCTCTGCTTTTTTTTCTGCAACTGGGACAAAAATAAAGGCCTATTAGCGCCTCTTTGTGGCTCAGTGCCGCTCAGCAGCTCGAGCACATCCACAGGACGCAAATTCCCTTCCAACAGACCAGGAATGTTTGTGTGTCAGCCGTGTGTTTTATTCGGAACTCAAGGTAAAGCCGCTCATCCTGGTTTGTTATGTACAAGGTGTGCATGTGACGGGTGTACACTCTTTTTATATTCATATATCTATATCTTTATAATTTCTGTCATAATTATACTTCATATACATTTAGCTGTTATACACACATTCTCTATCTGTGTCTCTAGCCCCGACGGTGTTAAACTACAGTTTGAACACCAACACCCTCAGATACGCCGGGGGGGTCCAGTATGCTCAGTACTACAGAACAGCACTGTTGTTCAAAAGGGTCCAAAGAAAAAACGAAACTAAGAGATTTTTTTTTTTGTCGAACACTTCCTCACAAGGATATCTGAAGACCCAGAGTGGGAGGCGTGGCCTGAGCGGAGTTAGATCCCCCCCTGCTATTGGTCCGCTCCTGTTAAAGGGGCGGGGATGGCTTGGCTTTTTCTCGGTTTGTATTCATATTCAGTACGAGCAAACTGTACAAGAACATGCAACATACAAGCTGGCCTAAAATGATGTGGAACTAACACACATAGTCTAGTCTTCTTTTTTTCTGTTTTTGTTTTTTGGAGCATCGTCTCGTTAATTTGTCTCGTCTTCTATTTTACAAAAAAGTAGAGAAACAAAACGAATAGAACGAAACAAACGGGGAACGTAAAAGAAACATGCATGCAGCTTGGGGCCGGGTCATGCTGCTCCCTCCTACGGGGGGGGGGGGGGGCTGAGAGGTGAGGGAGGGGAGGAGGCCCGGGGGTGGGGGTCGGGGTTCAGGGACGGGCAAAAGGGTGCGAATGTGACCTGACGTTTACTGTCGCACCATCGCTTGCAAAACCAAACACAGACACACACACACACACACACAAAGGGAGTCTGCACCTCATGGTACCATTCTGAAAAAAGACTGAAAAATTAAAAAATACAAATTTGGCCTCTATTTAATTTACCGTTTAGACGAAGAGCGAAACCGTTTTATTCTGTCCGAATAAAGAAGTCAAGCTTGTCTTGTGCTTGCTTTCATTTATCTGTTTCATATCTTTTATATATGTGCAGGCTCCCTTCATCTAAACAGGTTACCGAACCATGCTCATTTACGACCGTTACCACGAGAACACCGGCGGAGACAGCCGAATGAAACCGCCAACATTTGCTACTCATTAACACCGAAACATTGTTTACACCCCTCATTCCTGGGGCCTAGCTGCAATCTCTACTCTGATTGGCTATGGGGCTATTAGGTGGACCATTTGTCTGCTCTGCACGAGAAAGTAAGGAGGAAAAAGAAAGTGAATGTTGAACAAAAACTTCCACTGCTGCAGCTCAGAGGAGGAAAACGAAGAAAGCTTTGAAAACAAAAACGGAGGAGGAGGAGGAAGAGGGAAGGTGTGAGACGTGATTGTCAGACTCCAGCTTTGATTGGCTAGTTCTGTCTCTCCCTCTCGCTCTTTCTCGCTCTCATTCCCTGTTGCTCCGTCTGGCCTCTCATTGGAGGACCGAGGGGCTCGTGGGGGCGTGTCCTCGCCCCTCTGCTCAGTTCTGATCCAGTTAGCTCTGGTCCATTATGTTTGTCATTGAAGGGATATTTGGGTGGGTGGGGGGGGTCACCACTCGGTCACTAGGACCGAACGCCCGGTGGCGGTCCTGAGATGTCCAATGACGTCTGAGATGCCAGCCGGTTGAGCGGAGCTAATGTAGGGTCCACCAATGAGGACGGCGGAAACAGTTTGTACCAGCTGATCACCGTGCTGGAGAGGTCCAGCTCCTCCAATAGGATCTGTGCTACACCCATAAAACATTTGTGGTCCATTCGTCCATAGTCTCCCCAAACTATCACCTGGAACAGAGAAGGGTAGGGATGAGGTCAATTCAAAGCAAAACTTGAGCAAAACTTGATGCATAAAAATTACTATTAAAATAGGTTTAGACCCGGCGAATGGACAATAGTTTCAAAGTGATATTCAAAGCTGTTTTAAAATGCTTTAGGTCGAGTCCAAGTCAAAATATTTTCAATCAAGACATTTGAGGCTATTTCAAGTCAAGGCTAAAGTACTTTGGAGAAAAAGTGTAAGTCCATTTCCAATGGGTCCAAATCAGAAATGTTTTGAGACAAGACATGGTCGGTGTTATGGTTTGTTTTTTGGAAAAAGTAAACATTTCGGATAACGTTTGCTAGAAGAGGCAAAATTCGGCCCCCTATTTCTCATTTTCATTTTTGTGTCATCTGAGACAATTTCAAAATAGGTCTCATATAATGAGAAAAAGGTCAAGTCTTCTGAGATAGGGCCGGTTTCAATTTTGTTTTTTCTATTTCTAGTCAAATCAAAAGTCTTTCAAAACAAGTCCAAGTCGAATCTGAGGTCATTTGAGAAAGGTCTCACTTAAATGAAAACTTAGTCAAGTCTGAGTCAAGTCAAATAAGTTTAACTTCTTTTAAGACAAGTCCACGTCCATCTGAAGTAAGTCAAACGAAGGCCAGGTCCATTTTTATAGTAAAAAAAAAAATAATAATTTTGACTTGGAATAATAATTCCAAGTCAAAGCCGATGTCATGTTAGTCAACTTATTAATAATAACAATGTGGTCATTTCTGTTAAACCATCACCTACTGTACAATGCTTAATTTACTTTGATATGGACATGCTCTCTATGCATAGTGAGCGATGTTTGATCGTTCAGTCAATTTGAGATGCACACACACACACACACACACACACACACACACACACACACACACACACACACACACACACACACACACACACACACACACACACACACACACACACACACACACACACACACACACACACACACACACACACACACACACACACACACACACACACACACACACACACACACACACACACACAGTAGATTACCTGAAGCACCCTGCCCTGGGGACTCTCCTCAAAGAGCAAGTGCTGCTGGTAGAGCGGCTCCAGGGTCTTTCGTGCAATCTTAGTTTTCTTTTTGGCTTTACAAGTTCCATTATCCAGCAGGTAAACCTTGACATAGGGAGCTGTGGACGGAAGGAGATGGTTTAAAGGAAGCAAGAAGAGAGAAATAGGGAGGACGAATTGGATGATTAAGGTGGGGGGGAGGTGAAAAAGGGTGATGTGATGAGGAAGATTTAGAGAGGAAGAAGACTTGTTCGGTTGTGATATCAGACATGAGGCAGATGTGCTGTATTTATATCCCTGTGTGTGTGTGTGTGTGTGTGTGTGTGTGTGTGTGTGTGTGTGTGTGTGTGTGTGTGTGTGTGTGTGTGTGTGTGTGTGTGTGTGTGTGTGTGTGTGTGTGTGTGTGTGTGTGTGTGTGTGTGTGTGTTACCTGGGAGGGATTTGGAGCCTGCTTTGGAGGTAAGGCCTCGTGCCCTGATCACCTCGACCTCCAGCTGGCCTTTCTTATCCATCAGACCGATCTGAACATCACCTGTTCACATGCACATATTTGACATGTAAAACAGAACCTGATAGTTGTAGTTTTCGTATTGCAAGTAGAGAAATGCAGGCTATGGAATTAGCAGTGGATTTGAGCTGTCACTCACCCATGGCAGGCGTGGCCAGTGTTTGTCGGCCCACCAGCTGACCGGGGCCTAACCCGTCCAGGAAGTCACTGAACTGACTGTCGGCCCCCAACCGCATACCTGAGAATATCAGACTGACACACGCACAGACACAAATGAATCAACAATTCCTACTTCGTCACTCAGAACCTGCACCATAATACCCGTTTTCCACTGAATTCAGTTCCGTTTTAGTTCCGTTTTGGGCTACTCGGGTGTGCAGTGGTTCAACTTGAAAACCACATAAGTCTGCTTCAAACAAGCTATATGTGAATAATACTCTCTAAAGCTGGCTACACACCAACCCGATTTTGGGAGTCAGAGGCCGTCAGAGGCAGTCGGGCATTCGCGGCGCCCTACTCAGGTTGGTGTGTCCCGCACCATCGTCTCTTTACGGCACATTTTCACACCTCCCGATGCCTCCCGCGGCCGATTCAACATGTTAAATCGGCCGCGGGAGGCATCGGGAGGTGTGAAAAGGTCAGAGAAAGTCGGCCCAAGCAATCACTCGGATTGGCTGTTCACACTACCGCTGCCTGCTGGTAAGGACAGTTATTGCCACTCGTCGACTGAAGTATTTGCGGTGTGTTCGTAGGCGGGCGGCGTAGCGGGCGGCGTAGCCGACGTAGCTGACGTAAAAGTCGGGACGCCTTCGGTACGCGTTCTTTGGTCTTGATAATATCCTCTTTGAATGTATCATAATGGCACCAAAGACAGAGCTCCAATGCAAAAGCACTGCAACAACACTCCTACTACTATTAAAGTAGGAATTCTGAGAAAAGTCACAAATAAAAAAAGTCGGAATTCTTAGATTAAAGGCACTATTCTGAGAAAGAAAATCAAATACTAGGAAAAAGTCTGATTGCTTAGAATAAAGTCAGAATTCTAAGAAAAGTCAGGATTCTGAGATTACACACAGAATTCTTAGATAGAAGAACAGTAATCATTCTGAGATCAGAATACTGCATAATAGCCAACATTTTGAGAAAAGAAACCCTTCGACTAGATTCAATTCAGAATTATACAAAAAAATGTTTAAGAAAAAAGTCAAATTCGGAGATTCTTTTAAATTCAGAAATAATAGTCAGAATTCTGAAAGAAATGTCATCATTCTGAATCAGAGTCGTGAGAGTAACGTTACTATTCTGAGATCTCAAAAACAATTCCCATGCGGCCCTAATCCTTAATTTTTCTTTCTTTTGTCAAGTTCCTGTTTTCTTGTGCTTTCACAATAACGTTTCTAATATGTTTTCATACCATCTCAGACCCTTTGTGCTTTAATACAGTCCTGAAAACATGCGCTCTGTGTACGTACTTCCCCTCGGAGCTGTAGCTGTTCATGCTGCCGTCAGTGGACTCTCTGCTGGCCTGCCGGTTCATGGTGGACCCCCCCCGCGGGTACTCCACCGCCATGCCTGTCTCCACGCTCCTCTGGATGCTGCTGCTGGCGCCCTTACCCACCTTTTTCCCTGCTGGAGCTTTTGAGGCAGAAAGAGGTGTCAAACAATGAGACTTTGCATATGACATTTTATTGAAGGCTGTTTTAAGGCATCTCAAGTCAGACCTATTGCACCTGCACACAGAACAGAAAATATCTGCAATAGAATACTTATTTTCATCTTCGTCATTCTTTAATTATCAATTATAGGTAGTGTCTGCCATGCCTGATAACTATAAGCATCAATATGCATCCCATGCAAAGAAATACCCCATGGTGACCTCACCAACATTTCAAAGTGATGGATAAATACCATTTAGACGAAAGCTAAAAAACGTTTTTGTGTTAAAAATAATTTTAAAATAGGAGGGAACATCATTTAGGTGGTGAGGTCACTTCAGGAAGATAACGTGGCTTAGTCACTACCCCAATCTTAGTGTTTCGCAGGGATGGAAAAGGTCAAACTAAAGAAATCTTACAGTGAAAATTGGTATTCAAAGAGGGAGTTCAGATCTTCTTAGAAGCCTATTTTTTATCATGAAAACATAGCCAAGTCAAAAAGAAAATCAGTGTTTCAAAGTGAGTTATTTTTGGTTTGTTAAGTGATACAAATGTAAAGGCAAATATGACATGTGTGCTGCAACAGTTTTGAATTTTGATAAAATGATCTTGATATCAGGCTTCTCAAAGATCTGAACACCGTGGTGACAGAAGAGGGTGGAGTAAGGAAGCGTGCCGGAGACAGAGTTCAGGAAGGAGGTCTCTCAGAGCTATTCTACAACTCTCTATATTCGGCAGTGGCTCAGTCAGTAGGGGCTTGGACTGGGAGCTGTAGGGTCGCCGGTTCAAGTCCCCCGAACAGACCTAAATATGGAGGTCCCAGTTCACCTCCTGCCCTGCCGTGGTGCCCTTGAGCAAGGCACCGGACATCCCCCTCCCCCCCACTCCCATTGCTCCCCGGGCGCTGTACAATAGCTGCCCTGCTCCTAGTACTAGACTCCTGGCACTAGGATGGGTTAAAAGCAGAGAACACATGTCACTGTGTGTGCTGTGTGCTCTGCATGTGTGACCATTACAGAGGGGTTCATCCCTCCCAATTATATTCTATTTCATCTATCATTCTCTCTCTAAGGCTCTTTGTCTGCATCTGGGTCCCCTAAAACTTTTTAAAGTGCATTGTGATGCTATCTTAACTGATTTCTAAATAAACATCAGTGAAGTCAAATTGAACAGCTGCTACATATGACTTTTTTTCAGAAATCTTAATTTTATCTGAGAATTCTAAACTTTTTTCTACAAATTCAGATTTTATTCTGAGAATTCAAATGTTTCTTTCCAAGAATTCTGACTATCATCTGAGAATTCTGGCTTTTTTCTCAGAATTCTGAGATTAAAGTGAGAACTATGACTTTATTCTGAGAATTCTGACTTTAATCCGCAAGTCTTTTATTCTTTTATTCTGAAATAAATCTCAGAATTCCCCAAAGAAATTCTGACTTAAATCTGAGAATTTTGACTTTTTTCTCAGTATTCTGACTTTAATATCAGAGCTCCAAAATGAAAGTCAGTTTTTCACATTTGACACTAATCCTCTTCCGTACTTGCCTGTATTCAATTCATGAATATAAATCAGGGAAGTCACATTTAACAGCTGCTACGTACTACACCTAATCCTGCTACATAATACGCTACCATGCTTATTGCTCATGAACAAACAATGCATGTTAAACTTGTGTCTGTCTTTCTGTCTGTCTGTCTGTCTGACTGTCTGTCTGTCTGTCTGTCTGACTATTGCTTTACCTTTCTGTCTTTCCACCGCCTTACCCGCCGCCTCTGAAATAACACACACAACAACAACAAAGCCAATAAACAACATCATCAGAAACAACAGCAACAGTGGTACAAAGATGTACATGTGTGACAGTGTTAGTAACTTGTTAATGTTATATGACGGCATCTATTGCACGTCTGTCCATCCTGGGAGAGGGATCCCTCCTCTGTTGCTCTTCCTGAGGTTTCTCCCATTTTTCCCTTTAAACTGTGGGTTTTTCTCCGGAAGTTTTTCCTTGTACGATGTGAGGGTCTAAAGGACAGAGGGTGTCGTTTTCTCATACTGATATTCTGAACAAACTGTGCTGTTGTATTTGCTGTAAAGTGTCTTTACTGTAGGGTATTTTTATTATATGTACAGCACTTTGGCTCGACCAAAAATCGTTTAAAAATGTGCTATATAAATAAAACTTGATTTGATTTGATTAATGTGTATTTCTTTTCACAGTATGTAAATGTGTGTTTTGATATTAGAAATGCATTCATTGATGCATTTGTTTATCAAAAGCAACTCTTGAGGCAATCAGTGATACAAGTTAACATGTGACAGCTCTATGTGTGGGACCCACAGTAATATACTGCCTAGCAGTGCAATGTTAATGGACATTTAACTGTATTATATTGCAAAATCACTCATTTTTCCCACATTTGTTGTATTGAATTGACCGGTAATTTCTGATATGTTCATGTGCAATGCCAACTTTTATATTTAGTAGGTCAAGCAAAGCTCACACAGGGACAGGGCCAGCTCAGGGGTCATATAGGTGAGACTCAGAAGAGGTAAAGGCATCATTTATAAGACCTAGCTGACAGTATGCAGTGCTGTGCTTGTGTTTGTGATTTACAGAACGAACAAAGTAAATGGAATGTATTTTAAAGTTATGCACGCACTCCCTTTTGTGTCCAAGTGTACATCATACAAGATTCAAGAGGGCTTTTATTTCATTTTTTTAAATTGTAAAAATGTATTTATTCAGGGGGTTTGCACTGATAGTAATGCTCTTTTTTTCAAGAACATAGACAAGTAAGACATGAGGACGCTTCCCATACAATCACAGTCGATCTGCTGGTCACTGAGCAGATCAAAGAGAGCAAACTAAATGACTGCCGTAGGATATCTGTTCTAGACTTTCAACAATACTATTGACAAGGGTTGACGAGAAAAAGTGTGAAATATAAATGGTAAACTAGAAAATGCATTTCCTGCAGAAAATGCGTGCGAATGCTGTAAACTGTGAACATTTGTTGCTGAATTTAGCTGAAAATGCAGAAAAACCTGAATATGTTATTAGTTGAATGGTCTCTGTAGCTGCTTTTAGCTACAAAAACCAAGTAAGTGTGTTGCTGAACTTAGCGGAGAAAAGTGAAATGATTTGAATCAAATTGTTACGAAGTCTCCATCAGACAGAAAAGAATAGGCTGAGACAGTCTGTTAAAGTCCAGTCTGTTTGTCAGTGTTTGTTTCTGTGCTGAGCACCTAATCATAACACCTGTGTGAGCCCAGAGATCAAAGGTTTCCATGGTGATGTGCAGTGATCAGTGAGAGGAGAGCCTTTCCATTGGTCTGAATGAGAGATAAACCTCTTACATTTGAACGTTTTGTTGAAGAACCGTAGCAGATATCGGTGAAATTTCAACGCGTGAAGCGTCTCAGGACCCTGACGAGCGTCTGAAGTGTGATTTTTGTGTACTTTCGGGTCAATAATGTGGCCTTTTTGGCAGATTAACTAAAGGTGTGCGGCTGCTGCTGTGAAGAAAGAGCAGGCTGTATTTACAATAGGCCTTAATGGAGACATGTTGAACGTTTTTGTCACTTCATGCCCTCAAGAGGCATTTTGTTTAATTATTTAGCTTAATTCTTTCTTTTTTTTCAACCTAGGAGAGGTTTTCCTACGTTTTTCAAGAAAAATTATGTCCAAGGAGTGTAGGGTTTGGGAATGATGGCAGGTTTAAAAAAAGAAAATGGGGCGAATTTCAAGCTGTCCTCCACTCTGTTTTGAGATCGAAGCACTCTAGACTTAACAAGCTGCTGAGAATCTGAAGAAGGCCTCTTTACCAAGCTCCAAACTAAGTTAAATATCTCAAAAAGTGTAAAAGATATCAAAAATCTGAATAAGATTTGAATAGCTGAATGTCTTGTGATCATTTTAAAGTTGGAATGAAGTCTCTAGCTGAAAGTATGTGGAAGGAGTAGCATTTGGCGCACGGTGTGGTTAAAAGAGGATTTGAAGGTTCCTCCCATTGAGTTCCAAGTTAAAAAGCTGAATATTTAAAAAAGTATAAAATATTTTTAAAAAAAGTATTCGCACTAAATATTTCTAAAAAGTATTCGCACTAATAAAGATTTTAAGAACTATAGTGCGAATGCTGTGGCACAGCATTCCACTAATGAGAAAGCTGTAATTAATGGAAAACACTGGATTGGTCTTGGAAAATCGGAACCTTGCAAGCTTTCCTTTTGGCAGCTAAATGTGTAGCATGACGTGTTCGAGTTTGCTAAAAACCCACTATTGAAATGAGCACGTCGATCCTGAAACAACATATTGTGCAGTCTTTACACCATAAGACTTTAGGAACTCTCAACCAGTCACAGCAGTAAAACCCAGCTTCCTTTACACATTTTTTATTACCCATTAGTGTTACTAAGTATAGAAAATATTTTGGATTCCCCCAAAGGTAATATCGAAACAGACACTGTAATTGACACCCACAATTATCCCCCTGAGATTGTTTATTTATTTTTCAACATATAAAAGGATAGGCCATCAGAATGAAACTAATTGAATTTGACATAAAAGGCACTCGATCGCCTTGCTGCTCCAACTTAATAAATATTTTATATGAGCCTTTGTGTTCGTCTGTCTTCTTCCAAAGGCAAAGAAGGTGATTTACCGCTCAAAATAAAACAGAATAGATGTCATTAGAGGTTGCCAATCTTCTTGGCTTCTTGTATTACTTATTTACAGTAAGCACAATAATGTCCTTACTATTATAGTGGTGATGATTCTTTGATGAATGTTACACACAACAACTTTAAGAGGCATTCCGTAAAGGGGTAAACAGTTGGTGGTGTAATGTAGTTTATGCTAGGCAGGATAAAGTTGACCTGTTTCTGCTGTACAATATCTTTTATTGTATGTTATTAGTCTAAGTGCTCTCACCTGTCTGGCTGAGCTGCGAGGTGCTGCGGCTGCGTCTCGATGGCAGGATGGCGACAACACGTTGGCTGAGGCTCGAGCGCCGCTTCTTGAGCCCACTCCCCAGGCTCCCGAGCGCCGTGTCTGATTGGCTGCCGTCTGCGTGGTCCATGCCGTAGATCTCTCCGCTCACGCTGGTGCTCTTCATCATGTTGCGGCCCGTTGCCCGCATGGCCCTGCTGATCATTAAATGTCACCCAAAAATAAGTTAATTTTATGTGAATTAATTAAAGTTAACATAAGCAAGACCACACAAAAAGAAAAGTTAGAATCTAAGGGCCCGTGTGCCTTTTTCTGAGTGAGTGAGCTTATGCTGTCGTATGAAATTGGCTCGAGAAAATGTTCTGCCTTTAAACTACTTTTTTCTGAACGCTTTGCTTTTTTACAGCAGCTGCTCCGAGTTGAAAATATCTCAACTTTTTAGAAAAGCGCTAGCGACTTAACTTGGAGGAGAAGCGTGTGTTTGGACTTGTCTTTTAGAAAGAAAGTTATAAGTTATAAGAAAGAAGGGAAAGCTCATTTGTTTGAGCAGCCATCAGTAATAAGTTGTCCCATAGCCTTGCCAGCATCTTTTCTATCAGATAAAGTCTCTTTTCAGACACAGGTCCCTGGTGAGTGAGAAGGTGTGCGCACCTGAAGCGTCCCCGCGGTCTCTCTGACTGGATGGACATGTAGCTGGTGCTACTGATGCGAGAGGCACTGCTGGTTCGAGAGATGGCTGACACGTCGCTGACATCACTGTCTGAGGACTTATGGGAAATGTTCTCACTGCTCCTCCTCTGGTCCTTGTAGAGCTGCAGGAAACACAAATGATGCTAAATGCTGCTAGCACAAGATACTCAAATACATGCACAAAGAATCAATTAAATAGACAAACTGTCAGGGCACTCACACCCCTTTTCCACTGAAATTAGTTCTGTTCTAGTTCTGTAGTGGGACGCCGCTTGTGGTCCACCAACGTTAATCCTACCGTTTGCTTATGACAGCTGCAGGTTTAAAGTAGTAATTCAGTGCCTGACTGTCGCAGAACCAAAGTCCCCAGATGCATGTTTCCCCAAAAATGTATATTCTGGTTCAGTTGAAGTACAATGTTTGACATTATAGCAAATAAGTTTCTCTCATATTTGATGGATGATGTTAGCAAAGCCACCAAAGGCAGTCTGACAAATCAATAACAAGATTTCCAGCCTTGTTGCTACCATTGTGGCAATTGGAGTTCTCTACTGGCTTATTTTACCTGTATATGTTTCACTTTGATCTTACTTGTGATAATCTGATATGACAATTACATTTATTGATTACACCAGTATCAAAATAACAACAGAAAAAGGGCTTGTGCTGCTGTTCCGAACGGTCAGTTCAGTTTTCATTAAAAGTATGGAGGAAACATATATAATACGTCTTTGTACACCTGGGTAATCAGCTCTACTGCTTGTAAAAACGCCCTTCTCTTCACCGTACTCGCCATGAACTGTTATTGCTCATGTCAATCCCTCCTCAGTTTCATAACCCTGCAAATAAAGTTTGCGGTTCTTGGATCCAGCCCAGTAGATTTTTAGTTCCAAATGCAAAACTGTTTTCTTCTTACGTGACATTTATATGAGACAAACCCTGTAACGCAAACATTTGGATTTTACAACAGAAAGCTATTGTAGATCTTTATCAGCCATCCATTCATCCCTGACATGTTCAGTCCGTTTGTGCTGACAGTTGTAATAGCCTACTGTAGTAATGCATCACTAAGACAGCACTGACACGACGCATACAAAAAAGTGAAACCACTCGCATGCAAATGTTTGAAAGTCACGATATTGCCATTACACTGTTAGTTCGCTATACAGTAAATTAGAGAAAGGAAACCAGCAAGTATGGATTATACACTTCTGCATTCTTAAGGGACTACCCACTTGGAACCAATGTGTTTCGTTGAGTGGTCTTCCCCATAACTGTGAGATAATTTATGACTCAGACAGTAAATGCAATTCACTGCGATGCACTTCAGCAACATTACAGCTGAAGCTCACTGCCTGGAACCCTTATTGTCCCCATCCATTCCCCTGATGAGTTGCTTTTAGAGTGATAAAGGAAAATGGTGGCCCACCTCCCGTTTGTTCTTGAGGGATCGGTCCAGGTCCTGTTGGCTGGAGGTGGTGGCAGCTGACACCCGGTTGGAATGAACCCTCATATGGAGCTGTCGAACACACTCCTCTGCTACCAGGGCTATGAAATAAGAACAAACTCAATAAACTCAAACAGACACTGCACTGTAAAATAGCCCTGTAAGCAGAACTTAAACAGTCCGTCCTGAAAAAGCTTGGTTGCTTATCAGCCTGTGGACTGATTTCTGTGTATGAGTTGGGATTATTTAGCCTGGAATCTCCAAAGGATGTTAATGCCTAGATGATCTTCAGCTCCCCTACAGCGCCACAAGTGTGCAGCTAACAAAGCTAAATACTGTCTGAGGGGGATACGTTAACTGGCAAGCTTGTTAAATTGATTCAGCAGCTAACTTTATCCATGATACAAGCATGCGTTTTATCACAAACAGTATTTTAGCCAACAGTAACCGTACAAAGCAAAAGTGTATAACCAACGACTGCTCTGTACTAGCAAAGAGCGATGCTAGGCAGTAGCGGCAAAATAGCTAACAGTAAGATAAACCAAGATTAGGTTAGCCAGCTAGCTGTTCATTGATTACACAGCATGGTTCTGTTGGGGCTGCTTCATAACATCAGCTCATAAAGTTATGGTAAGTAATAAAGTCATTTGCAGATGCTACAGTAGCTAACAAGTTAGTAGCATCGAGCAAAGGGACCAAATTAAATGCAGGAACCTTACATATTTTACATACTTAAAGGTGGGGTAGGTAAGTTTGAGAAACCGGCTCGAGATACACTTTTTGTTATATTCCATGGAATGCTCTTAACATCCCGATAGCAATGAATATCTTAAGTGCTTTGACAAAAAATCCATAACAAAATTTCATCTGTGGAAGCCGTAGTAGGCTACTGTAAAAAGCACGACCAATCATTTTAGCCGGGCAAATTCTAGCGCACTCGGGCTGGTTTCTCCAAAATGACCTACCCCACCTTTAAAAGGATTATGGCCACATGCAAACTTTCTTTTGAGATCTGACCAAAAGTGAATAATTGTTTTGAGTTCTGAGATTAAAGTGAGAATTCTGAGTTTAAGGTCATAATTCTGAGAAAAATGATAGTAAAAGTCAGAATTCTGAATTCTGATTTGAAAGATGGAATATTGACATTTATTTTCAAAATTCTGAGTTTAAAGTTGGAATTCAGAAAGACAGTCCTATTTCTGAGAAAGACAGGAAAAGACAAAATAATATTTTCTCTGAATTCTGAATTTAAAGTTGGAATTCTGACAAAAATTCTGAATTCTTAGTTTAAAGTTGCCATCCAGAAAAAAAGTCAGTATTCTGAGTTTAATTTCACATGTGGCCCTGATTCTCTTTCGTAGTACAGTTATTCTAAATATGATTGTAATCTAATGTTAAATAGCCGTGGCCTGCCGTTTGCTTAACTGCCACCAGGGCTGGATAACAAATACGTACCTGCACATTGTGTGTCATTGTCAACACTTTACAAGATGATGTACAAATTATCCGGCACCTAAACTTATACAGTTTTACACACATAAAATCACTATACCTTGTTCTACGCTGCTGCTCTTAGGGGGAAGCTGTGGGAGCTGCCGTACTCTGCGGGCTGAGGAGGACGTCACTGAGGAGGAGAGAGACGCACCACCTTGGAGATGCCCCCTAACACAAAATAACGTGAAGGCAAAGCATACAGAAGGTGGGGGAGATGGAGAGAGATGGAGATAGGGGAGAGACGGAGAATGAACCAAAGCAAGGACAAAAATAATGAAAAAGGGAGAGAGAAAATCAACTTAATGTTAATATAAAGGGTGAACACTGTGGCACAAGGCAGGTCGGAGTTCACATTTTTTGAGTTCTATACGGACAGCATCATTTTTGACATTACACTTGGTTGAACTTCACCAGAAAAAAAGAACAAAAGCTGAGCAAACACAGCTGTAAACTGATGGAACCTGCTGTCATGTCATGATTATCGTCTTAGGATGTTTAGATACAGAATGTGACTAGGACCAAAAAGAACTGCTAAAATAGTTTTACTAGCAACAACATATTCAAGTGAAGCTCCCTCAAGTTGACAGTGAGGGATACTGTTGCAGAAAGAGCAGCAAATAAAGATTGACACAGTGGAAGAACACAGAGCAAAGGTGAAAGCCTTCCAGAACAAATCCCACCATCTCTGCACACATCCATTCACTGTGTACCCTTCACACTGCACACTCAAGAACAAGGGTTGCTCAGAAAATGTAACACATTGCTCCAATCATATCAACTGCATGTTCTTGATACATGTATAATTAGTCTTTTTCTTGTAACTTAATTTCGACGCACCAACAGCTCTATTTTAACAAACTTACTTTCAAAATTGGCGGTTTACACATAATAGGATAGAAAATGTAATTACTGCTGCAAATGTATGAATTATGTCAAAAAAAATCATAATGTTGTTTGAGGAATATTGAAACGAACCAAAATATTAAAAACAGGGATTTAGCGAAAACACAACATTTACCTAACAGCTCAGAAATTACTAGACAATGACTTTGAGAGTCCAAAAAAAACCCACACATACAAAATAATAAACAAACACACAACAACAGCAGAGCCCGAGGCTGTGATGTGGCAAAGACAGAAACACACACAAACACAAACAGGTAATCGTATGAATGAATGAGAGAGCAGCCATGTCTGGTTCCTCTCCACCACAGTGTCTACTGTAAATCAGCTGCCTCGGTGTCAGTGGGTTAGGCTCAGGGCAACAGTTCAAGGGAAACCCCTTACCAAGGGGTAGCAGTGGGGCCTTCTTTCCTCTGGAGCCCCTTAAGATGGATGTGGGCTGTATTCTTGTAAACGCATACAAACACACACACACCCACATTCACACAAATGCCATACAAACCCAAAGCCCCGCAACACAGAGTAGAAGCAGCAGCATGCAGGGGAAGAAAGATGGGGTCGAGGAGACAAAAAAGCGACAGAACACATAAATAAAAAAAGTCATCCGAATCATTTGACATTCAAGTGAAATGTCTTGATGACCAATGGATGGATTGCCAATACATTTCGCACATGGCTGCTTTGCCCTGACCGGAACTGACTATCACCGCTGTTAGCTAGCTGGCTAGCTAGCTGGCTAGCTAGCAACGATCGTTACGCTATAAAATTAACGGCGGCTTCTGTTCAACACCAGTATAGAGGTACATGAGCACTAGGGGTGTTTGTTAATAGTGAAATAAACTCACATATATAACTTTTATTTGTATAGTGTTGTGTTTACTGGAGCAACCAATCGCAGCTGGTCGCCTAACTTCCATTACATAGCCAAGATGGGAGTTGTTGAGAGTTAGAATCGTTCAGCGATCCACACTTAACTTTTTGAAAGCATCATCCCGGTACTAGTAATGCACTGCATTTGGCCATACCTTACATTGTAAGTACAAAGGGTACGCAATTTCAGACAGCATCTGTCTCTAAAAAGTTGTGTGGAACTTTCCAGAAACCATTAACTGTTTACCCAAAAAAATAACTGTTTAGTTTCTACAAAAGCACTCGGAAGAAAGAAGCATCTTTTAATAGAGAGGCTTGTTACAGTACCAAATGTAACATCAATGGCGTCTTTCTTGGCTAAGCTGTAACGTTAGCTAGCTGAGCAGGAGCACGCTTACTTCTGCATTTTCTTGGTGGTAGTAGAAGAAAGATTTAGAGGAGACATTGCTGTTGAGTTTTTAAAATGTGTCAAATGTTGGGCGTTTCGAGCAGAGAAGCTGAGAGGCATTTAGTTTTATCATATTGAAGAGAAGCTGACATCTAAAACACTCAGCAACTCACACCAAGACAATCTAGACGGATGAATAGCCATTCAGGTTATGGGAAGAATATGTGTATAACATTTTTTATCTATTTTTGATTTTGTGGTTAAACTGCCATTTTAATAAAACATACTTTTTGCTGTTTTGAAAGGCTACCATATACTTATTTAAAATTATTTTCTTGTTGGTCGTGTAATTTCAGGCTCCCGTCAATGCCCTCCTACACTAATGTTTGACATGTGCTGAGCCTACAGTACATGTCTTACCTGCCACTGGTAGGGAGATTCCTGCCAAGAGTGTTACACTCAGGTGTCTCCAGGGTCCGAGGCTGCCTGGAGAATGGTGGATGAGGAAAGGGAACAATACACAAAAGGAAAAAAAAATTATGGATGGATGGATGAGAGGATGGCAGAGAGCATGATGGAGGATACATCATTTAGATTTAGAGGAGTCAGACTCTGTCAGGGGGCTGTCATTGGCCTTACAAGTTTATGATCTGGAAAACAGGAAATAGGAAGCATGCTGTGATGGATGGTGTGATTGTGATATGAATAAGAGGTGTCACACACTGGTGCTTCATCTGTAACTGAGCCTGTGTGTGTGTGCATGTCAGTGAGTGTGTACCTCTTCTTTGTACTGAGGTGAATTAAAGTCTCTTGAGTAGGAAGTAGCATCCATATTCTCCAGTCATGGACATGAAGATGACAAGGATGATACATGCACCATCACACACACACACACACACACACACACACACACACACACACACACACACACACACACACACACACACACACACACACACACACACACACACACACACACACACACACACACACACACACACACACACACACACACACACACATGAATTATGGACATCATGAGTTCATTGCTGAGCACTAAGCCTTGAAAAAGTGTGACTTAAAGACCGAGAGAAAAACGAGCACACAGAAGCTGCAGATGCAATTCCTAGGACAAAAGTACACCCGTAGAGAGGAAGCAAACTTAACAAGGCGGGATTCAACACCATAACCAGTACAATCTACTACGTTCAGAAGAGAAGAACCAGTAACCAAAATCTCAAAGGCAGCATAGAAAAACAACAGGACAAAGCTTCGGCAACAACAACCACAACCAGGGACGAAAACTTTGGCTAGAACTCTGCAACAAATCACAAACCAGATAAACAACACCCACGAGCAGAAAAACCAAGAAATACAAGCAACCATTTCACAATGTGAGTGACAAAGTATGAAACAAAGCTTGTTTACAACATTGCATATTGTGGTCACTTTCACTGTGTCCTGCTAATGAACCACAAACCAGAAGTTTAGGCGTAGCGACAGGAAGCTAAATTGCGAAAATAGTTAAGAGTAGCTTGTGATATTATCTTGTATTTGGAAAAACAAAGTGAAAACCGGAATGAGCCCGTCTAGAGTGCTGCACATGTATGGCCCCTGAGCGAGTTCAAGTAGTAATAGTTTGACAGTTTTTTGGCTTTTTGTCGAGACTTAGATGAGAAGATTGATACCACCAGTGTATATTTTTTAAATATGACGCTAAAGTTAAGCGATATTAGCTTAGCCTAGCGTTAAGTCGAGTAAACGTGATAGTCATGTTCCAGGTGACAATATCTACCCAAAAGTTCTTCCAAAGATCACCAGGTAACACGCTATGTTTTGTTTATTAATGCTTACCTAGTTGATTAATAATTGTGTTGTCTTTATGCTAATGGGCTAACTTTCTCCTGGCTGTTTCTTCATATTTAACAAACGAATATAAGAGTGGTATGAAACTTATAATGTTCACTAATAAGAGAACAAGCAAAAGTCAAACTATTCCTTTCAAAGCATTCGAAAATTTGAAAATCAGCCACTTTCCTTAAGTATTGAAATTCAACCAAAATGAGGTATTCATTTATTAGCTCTATGAGATATGATACAAGATAATGTCACTCACTACATTTTGAGAAGAGTAGAAAGATTGGAAAATGTAAGGGTGCCAATTCACAACCAGCTTATCAGAAATGTGAAAACGCAGCAAAGAGATTAGCGCTAGCTGCAAATACGAGGTAGAGCTTGACATCTGCCTAAACCCAATAATGCTAAGCCTAGAGGATAGGGTTAACCTTAACCAAAAACAAAATTAGGAATTGGTGACAAACTAAACGGTTATTTGCCAAGTAAAAATAAGAAATGATCCTTTAATCATAATTCATAAAAACACTTGGGTTTGGTTCAAAATTGGCATCAGATTTTTAGGCATTAGTCAAGCTCTAAGAGGAAGTGGCTGCGGTCCACAAAAGGGTACCTGTCATCTTCAGGGGAAGCATGTTGGATAAGAATCCTGGGACTCGCTGGACGTCTCCGGGGCAGGGAATGGGAAAACGATTTTCTACATGTACACATACAAAATATATCAACCATAGGACCAAATCAGAAAGCCATTAGAAAATCAGAAATCCATGCCATTTCATTACTGGGTATGTAGTAAAGTATTTTTGTGTCTGACATGGGTACCCTTATTTTTTGGCAACCAGGGGGCAGCAAAATACTGACTTACAATCACCTTATAAAGTGAAAATAATGAACGTGTTAGCAAACATATGCCTATTTATACACCCTGCAGACATGGAGCAATATTAGCTTGCATTTAGAGTTTTGTCCACAGAATCAATAAAAGTCCAACATTCCCTTCCCTTTCAGTTCGGTGTTGGTATCCACCAACTCTTCAAGGATATTCCCAGGAAATAACTGACCTAACACAGTTAAATCTTAGTGCAAACATTTGTTGTATGTCTTTTCCTGTTGATCCAGAAACATTTAAAAACTGTCCTGGCAGTTGCATGTAGATTTGTTGCCAGAAAAAAAAACATCAAAAAACCTACTTGCAACGTCCAGGATGAAGATGAACGGAGGATAGAAATACGATTTTTGACCAACATCTTCTACACTGTAGTCACACTACAAATGTATCACTTCATGGCCAGTGTGGACAGGATGGATGATTGCAGGGATGAACAACTCTGTCATACATAACGCATGTGATGATTGTCATATAATAAACTTTGATAAATTCAAGCATTTCCTTCAAGGTATTATAATGACATTGTGGATAATGGTTGAGCAGGAGAGCGTTCATTTACAGTTGTTTTAAAAAGACACTGGAAATAGTTATGCAGGTTGTTATTATTAAGAGGTGAAGCTCACAATGTAGATACAGTGGTGAAAGGGGGATTCCACTGAAGGCCTGGACAGTGTAAAACTAAGCAGCATGTAGTAGGCTGGTTGGTGAAGTGATTCCTCTTGAGATACAGTAATTAGTTAAAGTGTACAAGAAGAGGTGCACCGACTCTGTTGTCACGGGGCCAAATCATTAATGGACCAACATTTCTTGATAGTGTTTCTTCAATGATAAGAAGATTTGAAAATCTCTCTAGAGAAGAGTAATTCTAAATACAAATGTTCTTATAAATCTGCTAATTCATTATCTAATTCTGTCAGTTTTAGAAAATCGTTGCACCTTCATACACGACATTGTGGCAAAACATGGGAGCTTCAGGATGAAACACCAGATTGGAATAACAGGCGTAGTCCACACATAAGGTATTTAAAAAAGAAATGTCAATGTGTTTTAGTTTTCCTCACACTCAGAAATGGCCTTTTAGGTTACTGAAAATAGAGCTTTTGTAGAACTTCTGCCAGGGTTACATTTTCAGAAACTGATTTTATTGTTGACTTGTAGAAAGGGAAATCAGAGTTCTTGGCCTGTAACATGAAATGAGATGAAGTGAAATCTTGTTTTTGAGGAGTCCAAATAAGCCAATATTTATCGTGTTAATGGACGTGGCAAAAATAGTGCCGCTTCTAGATGACAGGGGTTTTTTTGGAGAAAGATGGAAAAAATATATACCTGTGTGAGTGTGGACTAGGCCAGATTTCTGTACAGCCATGGGGTCTTGGTAGCGTGAGTAAGGGGGAAGCTTAATCTTCAGTTATAGATGGACAACTCGGATGGAAAATAACTACAAAGACCAGGAAAGGTAGAAGATCGACTGGAGCACTACAGGAGTGTGGGGGGGGGGGGGGACAGAGGCTGGTACCTTTCAGTCTCTGGTGAGGGGGCATGATTGTCTGGAGTCAGACAGTTGGCGCTAGCGCTCCTAACCCTGTCCAGAGAAGGCTGCAGATCACTAGAGGCACGACAGCACAACATGCCATCCAATGGAGGAGGAGACAGGAGGAGAGGACAGAAACAAACACAAAGAGAAAAACAATGGACAAACAGAAATAAATGTATTAAAATAAATCTTGTTAGGGTCCCAAAATCATAATGCTTGGATAAAACCATGACTGACGTAAGGATGTCAGGAAGTCGTGATGATGGGGTAAAGTGGAAACTTGGATTTTGATACAGCCTGGCATGGTTTACACTTAAATGTTTTCCCATTAAATTATAATCTGTACGCATGTATGTGTGTGTCTTACTACCCATATACAGTCTATGGTCTTACCTAATGGTCACCTCATCTGTGAACATTACAACGCGCTGTGTAATGGAGCTGCGTGTTGCCATGACCATGTGCGATCCCACAACAGAGCTTATCTTTCGACATGCAGGCAGCGTGGAACTAGTCACAAAACGAAGATTTCAATAACAGCGTGCATTATCAAATGAAACAAAATAAAGCAAAGAAAGCGTGGATTGTAATCTAATCTGTGAAGCTCCTGCTGTTGCAGAACATACTCACATAAAAGGAAGTCCCCAGATGTAAGCAGATACGCTAACTCTAATGTTGGAGATGATTTACATTCACTACGACAACATCATTACGTGCTTCTCCACAGGTATAGGACAAAATCACACTGGCACCACAAAATGTATAAAGGACTCAGTATGCTTCAGACAATGTGCTTGCAGAAATGTTGGTGTTGAAAACAGGATATTGGAAGGGTTTGATCTTCCTTTGACAACTAATGTACACCTGTCACTATTACATTACATGTTACTTGTTAGACGCCCGACAGGAGCAATTTGGGGTGAAGTGTCTTGCCCAGGGACACAACGACATGCTGACTGCAGTGGGTTTTGAACCCTGATCCGAACACCAACGCACTAGTCCACTGCGTCACAGCCTCCCTCCCCACTATTGTGTGTGTTCTTTCAGATCATGCATTGTTCCTTTGAGAAGCAACTGTCCAAAAGTGTGTCCAGTTAACCTTATATCCCTTAGTAAAATCTACAGGTACGGAAAAACCCCAGATTCTGATAGAGAGATTGGGCTGGACAAAAGGCAATAATGGCAGACGTTTTGGAAGGAACTATCTTTGGGTTACCATATATGGTACTATCACAAGATCACATGAAAAAATGCATCTTGTCAGGCTTCAAGTAATATACCAACAGTGTTTTTAAACCAATCAGAATCCTGTGATGAGCTACTCGCAGCCCAGGACATGGTTTATGTGGAAAAGAACATCTTAAAGGCCACCGCCTAAGTTGATTTTGGCGAAGTGAGACTATGATAGACCTGATTGGCGGATGGTCAATCCAATCCCTGCTAAGTATTATTTTGAAGGTTGCTGCCCATTTTTAAACAGTTTCCCACGACGGCTTTTCAATTGGTTCCATGGGACAAAGCATCAGGCACCTCTGGTTCTGGAAGTAAAAGTCTCATTCATTTTATCCATGGACAGTTTTAGTTGCTGTTGCTTGAGGTTAGGTCTCTCTGGGTCAGCTTTAGATATACATATATTGTTTGTTGTATCAGCATGGTTCCAAAGATGCATGGCTATTACTAGTATGTGTAGTTCTTGTCTGGCTTGCCGAACTGACGAAGAAAACATGATTTCACTTTAAATATTTAAGGCTGGTGAAACATCATTCTATGATCTTGCTCCTTTTTAAATAACATTAAGGAGATTGTTTAAAGACAATGTTGAGATAGGAACACAGAGCAAAACATGTTTAGGTATATGCACTTTGTTTGTTTGAAGCATACTGAACCCACGCCTATGGACTTACCTGTTGGTGCGTTTGTGGATACCGTTGAACATAAGGGGCATCCTAGGTGGCAGTGTGTTATTGTGCCTAGTAGATCTTCTGGTGTTAGCATGCATGCAGCAGACAGAAGTGGGAAAGGGGAAGGAATGGATGGAAGAGGAGAAAGAAAACACGTCTGTGGAACTGTTTGCACAGATGGAACGTTTTGTAGGTCAAAAAGGTGCCAGCTTATCCAGTGATTTTGTGCATTATGTTGTAAAGCTTTTTTTAAGGTACGTTTATTATTATTTCACAGTCGTCTGATATGTTTCTTAACAGTGCATTTCTTGCAAAATCACTGGCTAAGCTTGTAGGTGTTTGCAGTGTAAGCGAGTGCAGCTACAGCACTACATGACAGCATACACGCGTCACAAGCCGACTCATCTCTACTGACACGCTTAAAAACACACACCTCCTTTTAACACACCAGTGTGTGTAGAACAGTGGTGGAATGTAACAGGTTTATTTACTCAATTACTATAGTAAGTACAAAAGAATGGCGGTATCTGTTCATATATTATTATAAGTTAAGACACCCAGTCTATGAGTTATTCCAATAAACCCCACTTTTACTTGAATTGATGAACATATTAATGTATCAATAATTATAATACAATCATTTAAAATACATGATGCTTAAATGAGCCCCCCTGCATAATATTACTTTTATAGTATATATATTGATGCTTAAACTTTTGTACTTTTACTTACATTTTAAATGCAGGAATTGTACTTGTAATAGAGCATTTTTTAGACAAAAGGATGTGTTCTTAAGCGTGTAACTTACCTCTTTCACCGTGTGCTCAAAACACACGTCAAACCCATGTACAGTGTATGTTATACGCAAATATGAAATGACAAGTCTTTATATCTCAAACTGTATTACGTTATGGGAACAGATTGCAGCCCTTCAGAGGGAATAGCAGCATGCCAAGGACGAGACACAGTTGGAATGCAAAAGCATGGTCCTGTAGTGTCCTCTTGTGGATCTGAGGCAGCAATACAACTAAACAACTAGCTCAATGTGATCTAACTGTATTTCATTGCCCCAAATAACGCTTCGTTAAAGTGGCAGTACAAGCTGTGCTTCCTTATTCCTCACATTTTCCACATTGCCCAAAATGATGGGGAAAAGTATGAGTCATTGTCAAGTCAGTGATCATGTTATATATTTGTCTTACTGTCAACAATGTGTATTCCACGGACATATATTGTGAGTGCATCCATACCATAATGCATGTTAAGTAAGAGTAAAAAACATTGACAGTCCAGCTCACTTTAAATAGAAGTCAATGGAATTGGTTGGTATTCTAAAAAGCTTCCTAAGCATTTTGATTATAAGTTAAAAATCCTTTTCAGGGTCATGTGATATGTGTCATGTCGGGCATGCACAAATTACATTACATTACATTACATGTCACTTGTTAGACGCTTTTATTTTTTTGTCTTCCTGTTGAAGTAATGTCGGCAAAAGATTGGATATTTTTGGACTCAAAAAAATGTATTCAAAGCGTCCTGCCTAATTTTTTAAGATTATCACGTTCAGTGGGAATAAAAATGTATTTAGGGTTAAGAACCACAGGCAGGGAAGTTGAGTGTTACAGTAGTGTGGGATAGAATGAACTAATTTGTGGATTTAATGCTATTTGTTGAATATAATACAAATATTGTCTATTGCCATCGTGTTTAATGTCACTTGTTTTGTTAAATGCACATTTGAAATGACAAACAATTTGCTTTAACAACACTTACAGCAAAGTAAAAGCTTTGCTTACAGTTGGATATGTTCACACTCTTTAATCCCTTTCTAAATAGGATTGTAAGTGATGGATTCAACCCCTGTGTTTGAAGTCAATTGCACAGAGAGACAGTCTGACACACTACGCACTACAACATCCATGTGATCCAGAACCCTGAATGTAAACAACATGTCGTGATTGGCCAGTTTACCTGGTGTGGAGGCACTCAGCACTTTTGCCTCGCATTGACTGGTGGATCATGATGACCTCACTGTGGTTACCATGGGGATGGATGAAACAAAATCAACAACAGTCAAAAAAACCAAGAAGAGCACAATGAGAAGAGGGTGAATAGGAAAGACCTGGCCCAGATTGCTATAAACCCAACATGCACACACACACACACACACACACACCTGCGCAAAGACACACTGAAACGCCGCAATTGTTTCCAAACAAAGCCATTTGTCCCAACACTCTCAAGTAAATAATATATACATAATTACAATCAAATGCACCAAATGCAGTTTCGAGGCACGTAATAAGAAATTAAGTAAAAAGATAGGTGAGAGAAATTAAATTGTGAATTATTTTTCAAATGGTAAACAAGAGAACTTGACCTGTTTTTTTAAATAAAGTTGTAGCAAATCTCATTACAGCAGTTCACACTCACGTAAAAAACAGATTCAGCGGTCACAGATTTGCACAAAACTCTGCTATCTCATTCAAACTGCACAAAAGGAAGCAGTCAAAAGTAGATCATATTTATATGTTGTATGCCAACCAAGCAACTCTGATGACATTAGGTGTCGTTAAATGACCCACAAGCGACCCTCACCTGTCATCCAGGTACTCCTCCTGCTGGTGGCGACCTCTGGCAGAGTCGTAGTGACGGGTCGGAGAACGAGAACGACGAGTGTGAGGAAGCTCATCATCCAGACTCCTGAAAGGAAGGAGGAAAGGAAGCAAGGAAGGAAGGTTAGTGGTCAGGAGGTTTGTAGCAGAGTCTTGGCGTGGCTCATTTGTCCGGGCCAGTAAAAGCAGAGCTGGCAGCACTGTGTGTTCTGCGTCAGACTTTTCATTAGTAGATGGACTCTGTTTAACGGCTTCCAACAAACTCTGTCTTTCCTCCCATGTTGCTTTTACCTCTTAGGAGTGACCAATGTCTTCCCATCAAGCATTTTTGTAACCATTATTAGTCAACAGGTAAAGACTAACTGTTTAAATTGATTTAAAATGTTCAAAATATGTTTTGTGTTTGGATAGAATATGACCGTTTGCATGATACAAATCAGCAGAAGAGAATTGGATTATGCGTGCATAAACCAAATGTACACATTTCTTACCACCAATTTTTCAAGTTTATAGCTTAAAAGATTTTAATAAATTAACCATTACTTAAATATTTTTTTTTGTTGAATACTAGATTCTGATTTTGGACATTCAGCAGTGTGCTCTTTTTAGATAGCAGGCCGCTACTGGGGATAGCAGACTTTCTTAACTAAAATTAATGAAATTATAATAAAAAAACTGCTACTTTGGAAAAAAATGTATGTATAAGGTACCCTATATATTCAAATAATATTCTGGACATTTTATATTGTGTATTAATTAGATACTCTATTGAGATATGTATTTTGTGTATATGTAATGATATACTGTACGTTTGCTGTTTATTTTGTAAATTCTGTCTCTCATGTCATCCTTTCCTCCTCACCTCTGGGCGGGAACGTTGGGGGGCCGTGATCGGATGCGTCCCTGCTCCTCACGGTGCGGGGACACCGAGCGGGAGCGTATGTGATGGGGGGGCATCCTCTGCTGGTCCGGCACCTCCAGGGTAGACGCTGACTCCCGCTGCCTCTCCCTGCCACGCCCCTCAGCTGCTGGATGGAAATGGCACACACACTCATAAGTAAATGGAAATGTCCAAGTAGGTGTCTGGATTATGGTTTACTACTCTAATCATAATGTTACAATAACCATATTGTACTACAACAGGACAGTCTGTCTCAAGGATACAGTCTATTTAAAGATGAGCCTATACATAGAACTGTAACTGTAACTTTCTTTGGTGGTGTAGCAGCACAATTATCTCTGAAGATGAAAACATTCAAACAGAGGGACTGATCAGCCTTGAAGGGATCTTTGGGACTGTGTCAGGCTTTGTTTTTGCTCTCGAGGTCACTTGATTCATTTCCAAAAGAAAATCACCTCAAAGCTCACAGCGGGCGCTTTGTTTTGCTTTGGAAAGTTCTGCCAAGGTTTTTCATTTATTCCAACAATGCATTAAATTAAAAGAAAAAGTTGGTGGAAGAAGTGTGATGTGTTTTTTTATCCCTTCTGTGGGAACTCATTAATGAGTGAAAAGTAGTTTCGACTGATATAGTGAGGTGTTACTAAGAGTTAACACTCGTTATTTTTTATAGTTAAAGGTGGGGTATGTAATTGATTTCAGAAACACTTTTTGTTAAATTCCATGGAATGCTCTTAACATCCCGATAGCAATGAATATATTAAATGCTTTGACAATAAATACATAAAAAAATGTCATCTGTGGAAGCCGTGGCGCTGTAAAAAGCACGACCAATCATTTTAGCCGGCCCGGCTAAAATAACCGGATGGCCTACCTGCCTGTCAGCCTTCCATCTGTGCACAAACTTATCTCGTGCCCTCATTGGTCATGTGCGCGTTTGTGTGTGTTGGAGGAGGGGCTCTTGTACTTTCAAATTCTAGCACACTCGAGCTGGTTTCTCCAAAATTACCTACCCTACCTTTAATGTTAAAATTCCATATGTTGTAATTCCACCAGAATTTAACTGTGAGGGTATTGTACTATAAAATCCAGGATCATTACGGTTTTCTTCCCTTTAATACGGAATTTGGTTCAATATATAGGTATTCTGACTGTACTTGTCTGGGTCGATACTATATAATCGAAGTAAATAACAAAACTATTTTTTTCCCATAAAAGTCACCAAAAAGGGAATGTATATTATTCTTAAGGGATATCATCAGTGAAATATGTAATCCATCAACCTGATCTTATAATAGCCAATATCATGAAATCCGACCCTAACATTCCGAGACAAACAAGACATGTACAGTGTGTAGTTGTACCCCAATAAGCACACAAACAAAGGCAGTGTTTCGAAATACATGGTAGAAATGTATATTTTATATAAACATTTCACATGCCAACATGTAGTGTATGACATGATAGTGTTTTCCACACACATCATTATTTGTTTGTGGTGGTCTGTCATACTGTTGAAACTAGAGTAACCCATTTTGATTTAAAATGGTATTTCATGTAATGTGCTGAGCATTTCAGAATCAGAATCAGAAACAGGTTTATTGCCAGGTAGGTTCACACATACGAGGAATTTGGCTTGATGTTGTTAAATGAATGCTACTGTCAGACAGATGTACAATGACAGCTAACCCTAACCCAATGTCATATGAAGTGCTTGGAAGCCCTGAGAGGCAAGTGTATCAGTGAAAGAGCAACCCTACTAACAGCACCACAAATACAAATGAGTTTGAGGGAAACACAGAAAGTAATACTAGAAAACAATCCCCACCCACCTTTAGACATTACTGCTGTACCTTCATCAAATTCAGGCTCTGTTACACGCTGAGAACCTGAACATCAGAGACACACACACATAGACAAACACACACACACAGACACACATAGATATGGATAAACACCACACACAGACACACATAGATATGGGTATAAACCACATACACATATATGCGTGCACATGTCCAGGCACAAATGCAGTATTAGGGAAGGGTATGGAAAACATACATTTACATTGATATACTATACATGTTATACCTCATCCCTTCAAGCCTACATCTCTTTGACCTTTCATCCCTACCTCCCTTCATCCCTGCTTTACCTTATCCAGTCAACACTCCCTCCTTACCTCCCTTTGTCTATGTATCCCTCCCTCCCTAGATCCCTTCATCCCGACATCCCTTCGAGCCTCATCCCTTTGACTTTGTATCCCTACCTTCCATGATCCCTTCCACCCTTCATCCTTCACTCCCTACATCTATTCGATCCTTCATCCCTCCCTCCATTCATCCCTTCGTCCAATTGTCCCTGCCTAGATGCCTCAACCTTCCATTCCTACATCCCTTCTACTTCCCTTAGTCAATGTATCCCTCTCTACCTTGATCCCTTCATCCTTCCCTCCCTACATCCCTTCATCCTTCCCTCCCTACATCCCTTCATCCATCCCTCCCTACATCCCTCCCTCCCTACATCCCTTCATCCCTCCCTCCCTACATCCCTTCATCCCTCCCTCCCTACATCCCTTCATCCTTCCCTCCCTACATCCCTTCATCCATCCCTCCCTACATCCCTCCCTCCCTACATCCCTCCCTCCCTACATCCCTTCATCCCTCCCTCCCTACATTCCTTCATCCTTCCCTCCCTACATCCCTTCATCCTTCCCTCCCTACATCCCTTCATCCTTCCCTCCCTACATCCCTTCATCCCTCCCTACATCCCTTCATCCCTCCCTCCCTACATCCCTCCCTCCCTCCCTCCCTACATCCCTTCATCCTTCCCTCCCTACATCCCTTCATCCTTCCCTCCCTACATCCCTTCATCCCTCCCTCCCTACATCCCTTCATCCTTCCCTCCCTACATCCCTTCATCCATCCCTCCCTACATCCCTCCCTCCCTACATCCCTTCATCCCTCCCTCCCTACATCCCTTCATCCCTCCCTCCCTACATCCCTCCCTCCCTACATTCCTTCGGACCTCATCCCTTTGACTTTTTATCACTACTACCATTTTTTCTATTCCACCCTCCATCCCTCCCCTTCATCCCTCCCTTCGTCCCTCCCTCCCTAAATCCCTTCGTCCCTCCCTCCCTAAATCCCTTCGACCCTGATCCCTTTCACTTTTCATCCCTACCATCCTTCGTCTAATCAACTCTCCCTCCCTTCGTCCTTTTGTCTATTATCCCTCCCTCCCTAGATCCCTCCATCCTTCAAATCATTTCAACCCTCATCCCTTCATCCCTTTAACTTTTTATCCCTAAATCCCTTTGTCCATTCAACCCTGCCTCCCTATATCCCACCCTCCCTACGTACCGTCGACCCTCATTCCTTCCAGCCTTCATCCTTTTCTCCCTGAATCTATTTGACCCTTTATCCCTCCAACACTATATCCCCATTCCCTTCTTATTGTCTCTCCTTATCTGTTTTTATTTAATCTGGTGAGACCCTCTTGTCTCAGGTATCTAGGTACCTCCTGGAGGCTCCTTTTCAGAATGGTCAGAAACATGCCGAAGACCGAACCCCCACACGTAGCCTCTTCTCGACGACATCCCTCATCCTTCACAGTATCCTTAAAGAACTCACAGACAGAGACTTACGCTGCAGCTTCTTTCCAGGGACGTCTGTGTGCCGTCGGGGCAGGTACGGGGAGGGCTGGGGCAGTGGGATGGATGAGACATCGTGGGTTTGGAGTGGATACCAGTGAGGCTTGTCGTCCAGTAAGGCCGTCTCTAGCTCTATCAGGACCTGCTCAAGTCATAATACAGATAGGGAAATGTTTTGCTGCCGTTCACAACTGCTTATTAACATAACACACACAGTAGAAGCTGGTAAAAATACACACAGAAAAGCTTTTAAATGTGTTTAAAACATCCGCCGTTTGGGATTTAGTGTATTGACCTCTGTGTGTGTGTGTGTGTGTGTGTGTGTGTGTGTGTGTGTGTGTGTGTGTGTGTGTGTGTGTGTGTGTGTGTGTGTGTGTGTGTGTGTGTGTGTGTGTGTGTGTGGTACCTCTCCCATAAAGGTGCTGTCCTCGTCCGGTGACCTGGGTTGGTCCCATATCGTCAGCTCGAGCATGTGGTTCCTGAAGTCCCTGCGATGGACATGAGAGTAGACAAACGTCTGGTTCCACTTGGGCTCACAGGTCCTCTTCATAGTTTTTGTCCTTCGTTTGCTCTTGTCACTGTGTTCAACAATCAGAGAGTCAGACAACCAAGTTCTCTTTTCAGTGGACATACTTATTGTTCATGGGAATTTCCTATGATTAGATCACAAGCTTTATTCATCCAAATTGACTCCGCTAACACCTGTCGGAATGCATTTTCAAGCACTCTCTGTGAAGATGGGGCATACCTGCGATCAGGAAGAAAGTACATTTTAACGTAGGCGCTCCTGGGCCGCCCGTCAGGCCGAAGAGGAAGCTCCGCAGCCTGCATCACGTTGACTATTAGCTGATGACCCGCTTTGTCGTACCAAAGTTTCACCTGGGTGGGAAACACACAAACAAATCTGATGCTTGCTTTTCATTTCAACACATCAACAGCCCAACACACTCAAAGTGCGCAGACTCACTGAGAGCTGCCCGGGCAATAACTGTGGAGCGTCTTGGAGCATCCCAGGGCTGGAGGGAGACAGGACATGTAAAGATGGTCTGTCCATCTTCTGGGACTCAAAAGAACTGGAACCTGCTGGGGATACAAAAGGGGAGAATTCATTAAAAGAAAGTCAGCTCTAACAAGAAATTGAATCCTAGACAAGAGAAAAAAGTGTTAAAAATTGTTTGAACATAACGTACAATGTGCTAGCCAATAGGAGCAGGAGTGATACATGGTGGGGTCATTATGTTACAGAAGTAAACAAAGAAGTCCAATGGAGGCTTTTCAGGCAGGTGGTAGAGAAACTCCCTCTGGAGGGAACTTGGGTATTTTAGACTTGGCAAACAATTGACATGCACTAAAACCTATAAAACAGACAGGAAAGTGAAAACACTAAAAAGCATAATCGGGCCTCTTTCATTTTTCCAATCTCAATGCTAAGCTAGGCTAATAAACTCCCAGCTCCAGCACCATGGTTGATACACAGACATATTTGCTTTCTCAAAAAAAAGACAATCAGCAAGATAAAAACAGAATTAAAGAGGGGTCTCAACATCCCGCATACTTACTAGATTCTAATGGAGGGTGGGACGTGTCGGGGATTCTTGGGATATCACTGGAAAGGAAGCAGAAAACTTCTTGTCAGCCACTCTCAAACTGGCATATCACCAGAATAAACAAAGTTAGTAGTGTTCTCGATGCACAGGCATACATGCAAATAAATGTAGAAGTAGTTAAGTGGAAGAAAGTAGCACTGCAATTCAAAGTTATTTGGAGATTAAAATGTTATGTGGTTAAAACAAATATGGAGAAACAAAAGAAAATGTGAGGAGAGACAATTTCTTCTCATAAATTCAATTTTTCCCGGACTCATTCAGACATTTTGACTGAAATAATAATAAGAATGGATGGGAACCAGCAGCTCAATTCTGTCCACATCTTTTCTATCATCCACCACCACCACAACTACAGTTAAGGATCCCATGGGAAACGCCAGAAGCCATTGCATTAGCTTCATTGTCATAAAGAAAAGAATGGTATTCTGTGGAACACTTATCAGTGTAATTTGTCATTTTAAATTTAAAATCTATAAAGAGGAAGAGTTTAGTATTTGAAAGTGTCCATCCCAACATTGGTAGATGCAGGAGGTTTTCTCAGTGATTATTTGATAGCACATGGGGAGGTTGTATTCTCAATTGTTGAGTGATCCATGGGGCCACAAATTGATATTTTTACATTTAATTAAGTAAAAGTTCAACATTTGGTACTTTATTCACTTTCTTTCTGAGGGTTAAAAGGAAAAGATGGATCATGATGTACTGAACGAGCATAAAACCTGAACAAATCAAGCTGATTGGTCTCCCAGCTTCAGTACTTTAAAACATTAGATATCCATCTTCTCATTTCACTCTTGGAAAGAAAGCAAAAAAACATTTTTAAATTCAACTTTTGATTTGAAATACAAGCATTATACTGATAAGTGTTTCACGGAGCCTATGTTGCTTTTGAGCCCATTCCAAAATCAAAAAATGTAAAACAAGTAAAGAAAATCAAATCAATATTGATTGCTTTATGAAACCCAATGACCCCGCTTTCAAACAATGGGATAGAGGAAAAAATAAAGAAGTATTTGACACTGCGAGTGCTGGATTTCACTTTGGGATCCTAAGACTTGGACTGGGAATGAAAAAGAGAAAACCCAGACGCCGCACAAACAGTTTAAAAAACTTGCAAAAGGAATGCTACATTGACGGACATTTCCCATTGGCCATTTTGCATCCCTTCAAGGGAACTCTCAGTTTTTTCAGATGGACTTAACAAACTGTAGCAATTTATCTAAAAATCAATTAGCATAACTGCTAAATAGGAATCAATTGAGTTCATTTAGGGATGCAAAATGGCACCAGCAAAACCAAAATAGTTTCCATAAGCATGAGAAGATTAAGGGGTCCTAATAAAAGGGGCAGATTACTTACTGATATTTTCTATAAACCCTTCGCGAGTGTTTGGAGAAAAATTAATACATTCAACTATTTTTCCCATCAAAGAGCAAATGAGGTTCAATCTTATTCTAAAGCAAGGATGCAAAAAGTTGAAGAAACATTTCGTTTTTTAATGTAAAATAAAACCACTATAAACCCAATACAAAAATAGGCCAAACTTACTCACAACAATAGCTTAGCAAAAATACTGATCACAAACTGTACATTTTTAACACTGTGGTCACTATGGATTCCAGAGTATCACCATTTGTTTGAGAATATTATTTTTTAAACAGATCAAACGTAAAACCTGACATTTAAAAAGATTCTATGAAGGGTCATGGAGGGTGTCATAAATGAGTAGATCCCACTAGCAGTAATAATAATGCTATTATTGTATGTAAATGCGTTAAAATCCTTATTTCAGATATGCCCTTGGAGATATTATGTTTTTTCTTTCTTCCAAGTGTTCCGGAATATGTAATTTGTTTGAGTAATTATAGGCAAATTCAGAAAAAGAGACAATTGGTACAATTAAAATAAAACAATTTAAATTAATTGCTAGCAAAATGCAGAATAACACCCAATTAAGACGTCTGTAGAGAATTAAGTTCAAACAAAAGATTAATGGAAGGAAATACAAAGGATTAATACCAAATTATATAATTACAAAAGATAACAATATCATGATTCTGAGACCTGTAAAACAAATCACTAAGTCAACGGTTTTTTTGACAGTGTTTTTGGTTAAAAGGCCCTAACACAAATTGAAGAGATTTTCATGCTTTGTTCTACAAAATTAGGTAACATTAGCCGCCTTTAGCCTAGTGGTGGTTACAGGAAGTAATGTGATGTGATTTGTTTACAGCCTAACATTTTTACTTCTACCGATTGCATTTTAGCTTCAAAAATCATAAAAATGGTGTTAGTATGTGGAGATCTTCTTATTTCCTGCAATACTCCGAAATCCAATGGAAAATCCCATTTATTTTGTTGAGTGAGCCGTAGTGACGCTAACTTCCGGATTACAAAAGCCTACAAAATACATCATCACCACCACTCTAATGCACTCACAAACTGGTCATTACTGGCTTGGTTTTTAAGACCAACAAAATATGATGTGATGCAGCCACTTCTCATTTTTTATGGAATAATTCACCTTATACCCTCCTGTAAATAGGAGCTAATAAGTGCTTTTTTAAAGGGGATGGAGGAGACAAAATGGCAACTTAGAAACCGTTGAGTCAACACTCCCTAGTTAATAAGGGTGGTATTTAGACTGAGTTATGACTAAAGGATTGCATTTTTCACAAATATCCAATAAGACAGATGTAAGGGGTGTGTTTAATCCCTGACTTACCCAATAGGCCTGGATACCACTAGCTCAACCTGAGGCTCCGCTTGAGACTCCAGGATGATGTTGTAAACTTCCTTCATGGTCGCCCCCGGTAACAGCTTCCCATTCCACTGCAGAACTTCATCCCCTGGAAGCAGACGTGCATGTAATTAAAAATAAAGTCTGGGTATCATAGAAATGTAGGTAAAATTCATTTAATATTGTAAACAAATCCCATGAAAAGACAAACACCATCATGTGTGAGTCCACTTCCATATTCCCTTAAGCCCCTGTCACACTGTCCCGAAATTGACACCAGATGGACACACGAATATGGAATTGTGAATTTCGCACGAAGTTGGCCCCGAACATGGTCAACGGCCAAGCAACAGCCGAAGCAAGTACGTCGATGCCTACAGAAGGCCACACGATGGCGCCCGAACCACACACGAAGGCAACATTTACATTACATTTAAGACATACTGCAACGAAAGTAACAAAAACAATTATGTTAAAGTACTATGGGACCTTACATTTTGGAAACTTGAGATTGTATATAATAAAAATTGTCACTGATATTTTCAGACTTTGTTCTTTACTTTCTCCGTCTTTATATGTAGAACATATTACGTTTTCTCCGTCATGTTGTTTCCATAGCAACAACAACTTCCTGTCAACAGCGTAAACTCACCTTAAGCATCTAAATAAAACAGGAAGTTAACCTAAATTACATTTAAGACATACAACTGCAACGAAAGTAACACAAACAATGTAATATCCTTTTCAGTTTCACAGAACACAAATTGGGTTATTTACATAATATGTTTACATGATTTTGTTGTGCAATAAAACAAGCAGAGAAGCGATCTGTAAGGAAACATTGCACACGTGGTCCCATCTCGATGTCATCGTACTGTAATACGATGGCTACACGACGGCATTGCGAGGGCTTCACGTAGTCGCGTTGCCTTCCTAAGACAATCAGGCAGCTTCTTGTTTCCTTCGTATTGTCTTCGTGAGGCGAAAAATGCCCGATGGCACCGATGATCACACAAAGTAAAGACGAAGATGACACGATTTGACAAGATGCCCTCACGCTGGCCTTACGAAGGGCAAAATGACACACAAATTCAACACGAAAATGAACCTTCGCAAGGTCCTTCGGCAATTTGTTGGCATGCCAAAGATTTTGCCACCGCTCACGAAGTTGCTGCCGGAGCCTAAGAAACTCCACCGGTGGTCATACGATGGCTTAAGATGCCCTCACGAATGGCCCGATGTTGTTACGATCAGAGCCGAATTTGAGCACTTCCTTTATCGTGTGTCCATCTGGTGTCAATTTCGGGACAGTGTGACAGGGGCTTAACGCCACCTGAGGCCCATTTGTTAAATTCAAAGATATACACTTTTTAAAATTCCAAATATTTGATGTGACCTCTTTTAAGAAGGCCACAATTTTTTTTTTTAAAGTAATTTAAAAAAAAGCTGATTCCTGTAGTTTTTAGTAAACGTGACTTAAACGGTAAGGTTAGGGTAAAACAGCAATGGCCTTTTTATGGGATTATTTACAATTACTAACATAGACTCTTTGGCTCTTTTTTATGAAGCTTTGTCTATTTATTTCGGCCTTCCTTCTTAACTCAAACAGCGATTTAGGTCAATGAAAAAAACATTTATTTCAGAAAATAACCATGCAAGTGTGGACAAGGCCTTATTTTTTGCTTTATGCCAATATGTTTAAAACCAACACAGCTAATTAGAGACAAAAAACTATATAAAAAAAAATAAAATGTTTTAAGTGGAACAGTGAAAATAAGACTTCTGAAACAGTTTTAAAGACCCTATGTTTGGATGATTTTTTACTTTTACAGCAGACAGTGTATCACATGTAATGGTTTACCTGCTCTGAGATGTCCCACCACATCAGCCAGGCTTCCCTTCTTGACTTTAGTGATGAAGGCACCTAATCTCCCTGACTCTGTTATTCTGCCTCCCACCACCTAGAGACGGAGAGGGGGAGAGAAAGAGATTAGTGTCATATCTGTCATATATGCTGACCGAATACCATTACAATATTATTACACAGCTTGGTTGGATACTGGTTTCTGTTCATTTTGAGTTTCAAGAGACTTTTTAAATATTGATTTTAATATTTGAAAAGACACTTTGGATTTATGATGGCTAAACTGTCCCCAGTAAAGAAAAAGAAAAACAGCGCATGAGAAGGAAAGAGTTTAAAAAGACAGCGCACTGAACATCAGAGAAATCAGCAGAAGAAGACAGACAGGAAGTAAACACTAAAGGGAACACGGTATGAGTGTTTCAAAGACTGGTTAATGGAAAATAAAATGTGAACAGACTTGGAAAGTTACAGATAACCTCGATCAGTGCTGTTTTCCTTTTAAAATACTTTGCTGTCGCTGCAGTTTCAGACATTGGTACGCAGTGGAACGGACACATTTTTCTTAGCGGAGGCAATACGATCATTTTTAAATCAAAATTGTGACTCAAGGATTTGGTTTATTTAGTATGTACCCATGTAATAAGTAGAGACATCATGTGTAATGATACAACATCATGTGAGTGTGTGTGTTGTTGCCCACTCCGACCTTTAACCCCAGCAAAGCTCCGGCTTCTTTAGGCATGGTGGCGCTCCTCTTGCTGAGGGTGATTCGTCCAATCAGATGGTCCCCCTCCTTGGATGGCTGCCAGGTTACAGGATGCTTTAAAATGAGGAAACAAGAGATGCTTAGATGCACACACTGGGATGTGTCCTGTTGGATCAGCAGGTAAGAGTTTCCTTTTTACATACAGTAGTTGTTTAATATTTACATGGATGAAAGGTGCACTACATTTCAATTTCATTAATAATGTGGCTAAATGTATGTTTTTATTTTTTCAAGAGCCGGTGTGTACAGTAAAGAGTGAAAATATGCTTTTTCCCTCTGAAGGATGACACAGTTTGCAGTGTTTTCCTAGGAATACATTTGCTGGTCTCCCAGCCACTCTTATCGGGTGGAATCTGGTAGATATTCCAGGGGAAAGTTGTCATGTGTTTTTCATGAATTAAAAACATTATAAATTAGGGATCAGCTCTTTCAACACACATTTTGTTCTGTACTTCCCACAATTATAATTGTTCTGTACTGCTTTAACCTTGGGCAATCATCTTGCTATGTAATATCTGAAATCATGTGTTTTTATTCTCTGTATTTTAAACTTCGATGTTGCATGTTTCTAATGACTATATTTCTTTTCTTTTTTATCAAAAATTATAATTTTTCATCTGGACATATTTTGCACATTCACCCTTAGTTTTTAGGGTGAATGTTCAAAATATGTCCAGATGAAAAATTATAATTTTATTTTTGAAAAATATCCGCTTTTACAGCATTGTCTATTTATGTGCATTTTTCAAAGGAAAAAAAAGAATACTTCCTCGGCAGGAGGGGTTAAACATGTACCAACAAGAAAGGGACACAACAAGACAACAAAGACACAAGGGGCAACTACGAAAAGACTAAAACAATTACAAAGAGACACAACATGACCACAAAGAGACACACAATCACAGACGGATGCATAACGGCTGTAACAAGACAGAAAAACGACGTCAAAAAGAGGCGAAACAACTATAAAGTCTGTCATCCTATGGAAGACACGTGGAGGGGCGTTTTTCATATCTGTCATAAATACATACTTTTGAACGAAAAGCAATTAATATAAATAGAAAAACAATCACTTACATGCCATACAGTGGGGTCATGTGGGTAGCACTCCCAGTCGCCTGCAAGAAATAAGACAGAGGGCTCAGATGCTGAAGATCCCCATCGTACACACACACACACACACACACACACACACACACACACACACACACACACACACACACACACACACACACACACACACACACACACACACACACACACACACACACACACACACACACACACACACACACACACACACACACACACACACACACACACACACACACACACACACACAGTATAAACAGCACATACCAGCCTGAGTCCTCTCATACACAGACCAGTCAAATGTGGAAGGTATTTGTTTACAGTGGAGAGGGTTAAGTTTATTGAATATTCAGACCTGGGCTAGAATTAGAAGTGGATCACCTCAGTGGCAGAACTGAGAGCAGTGTGCAGAGGATGGGAAGATACCAATGGATAACAAAGCTTTTTAAAACACTCAAAATCCCTTCCAGATATTGTACAGATCAGATTTTGTGGAATGACTCCAGGGGCAATGCAATGAAGCAATCATTGATCCTGTGGGAGAAGGTTTTGATGGTCATTATAAAGCAATATACTATGTTATACTATAAGGGGTTAAAAGTTGTGAATCAAAATGCACGTATTGCAAAGTTTTTCATACTATGTTGTGTTTTTTTCTTCTTTGCTAGGAGGATGAGGAAGATGCATTCACAGATCATAATCCTAGATTCTACTGTACTGTGAATAACTGCATATTTGAGTGTGTGTATGTCTCCCCGCACTGATCTAACAATGATGTACATGCCTGGACGCTTCTCCGCTGCCAGCAAACTCATCTCAGAGCTGACCTGGTCTCAGTCTCGAGCTAAAAAAGGAAGCAGCCTCTCGCTTCCACGCCGGTGTGTTTGAAACCTGGCCTGACAGAACACTCTCATCCTAAAGCTCTACTTGATCGATGTCTCAGTGCCTGGTCTGGGTCCAGCCCGGTGCTGCATTCTCCCTTTTCTCATCAGAACTAAACACACTTTATCGATCAAAGTGTAGCTTTAATGTAGAACGAGCATGGTAACAATCAGACACAGTGTTGAAGGTAAATACCCTAATGTACTGGTCAGAATACTCCATGATGATGCTCTTTTTCGCTAGTGGTCTGCTGCTAAGGATAGCAGACCGTTGCTAAGGAGGACCTTAGCAATAATAATATGTGCAATTATTATTTGCAGAAAGAAGTCTGGTCAATTTAAAGTGCCTAATAATGTCCTCCGTCAGATAACACAATTAAATACTATTTTAATAGGTATTTATTAGGGCTGGGCAAGTTAACCCGTTATTATCGCATTAACGCATTAATTAATTAACGCAAACAATTATTTTATCGTGTTTTTTTTTTTTTTTTAAACAAGTCAGTGCTGCCGTCATCTCATGTCACGTATTTGTCGCCGCAGTTGTAGCCGTTCGTACGCAGTGGAACAGACTAGCGCAATAGGATCTTTTTTTAATGAACAAAATCCTTTTACAGTAGGCTATATCAATATAGTCGAGTTTTTTTTAAATGTTGTATATAACCATCGTTCAGATCCAGAAGCAAACCCCCCTGTTAGGGTTCTTCTTTATTACTGACAGTCGCTGTACACTATCACTTATACAACCACAAAAAATATGGTGGATAGGATAACGAATAATATGCCCATAGGGTTATACTTAAATGGAAGTGCTGAAATGTGTTGTGACGGCACAGAAGATAATGGAAGCTTGTTTTGGACGTGTGGACAGCTACCCTGAGCTTCATGTAAGACAGAACATATCATGACAATGACCACAACGCTAAGTGTTGGTTAGGGTTGTGCTTTATCTATTTGCGTGTTTCCTACGGATTGTCCTTCTTAAGCTCATTAACACAAAGTATGAGTTCAAGCATCAACTGTTTCTTGCTTACGGTGTAAAAAACATATCAAACCAATAGAAAGTAGCGAAAATTAGATAATAGACAGCAAAGGCGAAATGTGAGTCTATCATAGAATGTTGGTGAAACAGCTCCCCAGTGCCTTCTGCCAGAGAAAGATGTTGACGCACGCCCTTAACTAGGCTAATGTAGCCTTTTATGCTACAGGCCCAGTTGGATATAAAGCAGTGAGCCAGAATGCCCTGGCATGGTTAGTAGTGACGTGACAGAACCCAGCTTGAACATGACAGTGGTGTGTTCTCAGGCTGGGGGACATGGCTCACCCTTTGATCAACTGGGGTCAAACTGCCCCATCACAGACACACTAACGTGCACACACATGTACGCTCAGTGTGTGATGGTCCCCCCTTAGGGCCAAGCTGAAAACAATGCAACATGACACACACACAGGCTCACACACACTACTGTGTAGATGCTCACTTTGACTTTCAGACTGCTGGCTATAGCCTGCTGCATGCACTGTAAACAGAAGTTAGAGAATGTGGCAGCAAGTGCATTGTTCCTGCAAACACAACTAGAAGAAATCCTCTAGGAATTTAAGGTTTTCAACGAGTATGGCATGTAATGTTAGACATTCTAATAAACGATTCATAGGAAAGAATAAAAAAAAGTTTTCCATGAATTAGAAGGTTATTTCTGAGCAGTCTTACCGGTTCTATTCGTAAACCCAGAGTTAAAGTAAAGAGCGTTGCTAAATCCAAGTCTGAATGAAGACAGCACACTGAGACTAAGCAGTTCTCTGCAGCTTCTTACATTCACCTCCCGTGATGGTGTTCAAGTGGGAGTGTTCCATCACAGGCACCGAAAAGTCAGTGCTCCATACCTTGTAAGTCGCAATAAGTTTACCAAAATGTAGTGTATAAGTGTAAAATAAATGGGATTTTATCACAATTTTTGTAGCAATATCTTTTAACTATATCATTATAGTATTAGCTAATGAACTGGAGCTTCTGTGTTTGTTTGCCTAACTTTCTTTATGTCCCTTTTCACCTTCCTGATTGGCATTTGTACCTGTCAGTTTGTAGAAACTGAAGCTGGCTCCCTTGTGTTCTTCTCTAGCTTGGCTGTGTATGGAGTGATGCAGGATAGAAGAAGAGTCCTTAACCCGGGAATGAGTTAGCATCGTAGCACTTATGGTTAGCTCGTCTCAAAATCATTGTTTTTTGACAAATTGAAGATATTTTCATGTTTTTATGAGACATGAAATACGTCAGTATATATCGTATATATCCCACTGGTGAAGCTATTATTTGTCTTAGAGACAACCGTTGCTCACAAGTGGCTAAATGAGACTACTAAACGCCACCACGCCGAACATTAGCCGTCTTTAGCTTAGCGCTGTCGTCGTGAAGTAATGCGACCATCATGTAGTTTGTTTATAACATACAAGTTAGAAATGTACTTCTGGCTATTGAATTTACCCTTCAAGGATTATGCAAGTGGTGTTAATATGTGGAGATTATCCTGCTGAACAAAACATGTAAGTATTGTGTGTTTGCCACAGACTCCACTAGAAAAATACGATTTGTTTTTAATTGAGGGAGCTATTGTGATGCTAACTTTCAGTTCGGACAGTTAGCACACTCTATTGAAACTGATCAGCAGGCAGTTAAAGTAAAATGTCTCTCCAGTAAGTAGCTTAGCAATTGCTAACAGTATCTTATTTTGCAGTGTGCATTTAGGAGCTAATCAGGTGAGGTGAATGGCCCGTGAAGTTCATCCAGAATGCTTCCACATGGCCCAAACAGATAAACCCCAACATAGCCTCACAGCATTTCGTGTTATAGTCACGAAATTAATCTATTGATTCGTGTTCACCAACACGATTTTCCCATTTTTTTCGTGTCACACAGAACGATTTTAAAAGCAATGTAAATAATAACAAATTAGAAGGAAAAACAGATTACAAAAAATACAGATTTCAGTATTCTGACACAGAACGATTTTAGAAGCAATGTATTTATATTGGTAGTATGTTTCGTGCCTGCACCAAATAATAACAAATTAGAAGGAAAAAAAGATGACATAAAATACAGATTTCAGTATTCTGAGGCTCTGAGCCCCATTTCTTTTCCTCACTGACGGCAACAAAACTCAGACATTATACAATTTAAAATAAAAGGGATAGGGTTAGGCTTAGGGTAAGATATTGAGTAAGAACATGTTTTTATGAACCACACAGCTTCCGGTATTCCAAGACCCGACCGGACAAAAAGACGTGGTGCAGGCACGAAACATACTACCAATAGAAATACATTGCTTTTAAAATCGTTCTGTGTGACACGAAAAAAATGCGAAAATCGTGTTGGTGAACACGAATCAATAGATTAAATTAATTTCGTGACTATAACACGAAATGGCGTGAGACTGGGTTGTAAACCCACAGCTTGTCTCGTCTATATGAATGACAATTTTCCTTCCATAGACTATAAGCTGTGTAAAAACTCCACATTACATTCTAATTGTAAACAGCCTGGTGTGTTTTTACACTGGAAAAGAGACAACATTATATATGCTCAGAAAGTCGGTAAGCATGGTTGTGCTATAGACAACATTTAAAAAAGTTTAAATCTAAAAAAAGAAAATCTGAGTGTGATGATGTCTTCTGGTGCACCAATTCTACAATTTCCTGTCAGGACGCTGGATAGTGTAATACTGCTTGACATTAATTTAGGCTGATGAAAGCCAGATTCCCTACGAAGTAGACGGCTCAAAAGACAGAGTGTAAGGTATGATGATTCTATAGAAAGTCTTTAGATTATGACGGCACATGTGATTTGAAAGGTATCAATATAAGATTTTAATGTGGACCTCGAGTTCACATCAACAGTAGGAAGGAAACATCCATAAAGCAGTGGTGTGAGTACTCTCCAACATTTTATAACAGTCAAATTGCCTCGGATATCTCATGTTTTTTGATAGATAAACAAATCATTCAACTGACAGAAGTCAATATTTTCAAACCCCCCCTGAATGAAATCAACACAAAGTGATGATGGTTTGGTCTCTCACCTCTCTCGCTGACACTTTCAATCTCTGCGTCCTCACAGCTGCTGTACTCCGGCGTGGTCCCCCCCTCCTCCTCTGAGCTGCTGACGCTGGTCTGCCTCTTCCCCCCCGCCCCAAGCCCTCGTTTCGACTTGTAGGGTCTTGGAGGGGGCGGACGCAGTGATTCTGATTGGTCAGAACTCAGCGAATCATTACGCAGCATGCTCTCAGCCTTCTCCCGTTTGGTCCGTCTCCCTACGGGCCCCTGGCCGGGGGTCGAGCCAGGGCCCAAACCAGGAGGCTCTCTGAGTTCAGGGGGAGGGGGCTGCTGAGCAAGGGTGTGTTCATGTGGCCCTCCAACCCCACCCGCCGTCCTCTTACCAGGCCGTACACCCTCCCCAACCTCCCCCCCTGCTACGCCCATGCCACGGCCCTGCATGGGCACAGGGTGGCCCCGGCCTCCAGGAGGGACCGGGCCTGCTTTGCGAGGGGGGGCACCGCTGTGGTCCATGTGGTGGTAGCCCCCCTCTTCTGTCCGTCTTAAACCTTCTCCCACAGGATCGTGCTCCAGAGAGCGTCCCTTGGTCAGCCGCCGGCTCTCCCTGCGCTCTCTGGACTCCCCCCGGAGGTCCCGGTCCATGGAGACCTGGGTCTGCAGCCTGGGCTGGACGGCCCGCCGCTCCCCCCGACCAGCTCCGCCTCCCCGGCCATTTCTCCTGGAGATCAATCGATATATAAATGGAGAGGAAGAGAAAAGAATAAATGGGAACTGTAGACAGACACAGTATCTTTTCAGGGACATCATTGAATACTTTATTTACATGCTTGGATAGTAGATGTGTAAGATTAGCTTACAAAGGTTAGAGTGTTTTGTATGGCCCTTGTTACCAACAGAGCTGTGGACTCCAGCCACATGATGGGCTCAAACTCAAGTCACACATTTGATGACTATACATTAAATTTAACATCAAATCAAAAAAGATTTGCAACCGGTGGTGAAAAGTTACTTAGTACATTTACTCAAGTACCGTACTTAAGTACAAATGTGTGGTACTTTGCTTGAGTACTTTCTTTCTCTGAAACTTAATAATTCTACTCGACTTCAATTAAAAAGGGAAATATTCTACCTTGTACTGTACTTCTACATTTTTTATTCAGATTGAGTGACTTTAGTGATTTTTAAACCACAGAAAACATGAAGAACTTTTAAAATACGATGTTTTGATGCAGATTAAACTATACGTTATATTTAAGTACCTAAAACAAAAGGTGGTTTTGGTAAACTGTTTTTATTTATTTTTTGTGCAAAACATTTCATAGTTTCAGCGTCTCCAATGTTAATATTTGCTGCTTTTATCTTTCAATATTTTAATACATTTTTTATATTTTGGCTTTTTTTTTTCTGCAAAATGTTTTCTGGAGTACTTTTACTCCCAATACTTGGACTACATGTCCCTATTCATACTTAAAAACGTTTACTTAAGTACAATTCTCAGTGCAGGACTTTTAAGTATTTTAACAATCCAGTATTAGTACTTTTACTTATGTAAAGGATCTGAATACTTCTTCCACCACTACTTGCAAGACAACTTGGACTTAACCTGTGAATCACTTGGACTTGAGGCTTTTGACTGAAAAATACTTGAGGCCAGAGCAAAAAGGTGCGTAACTTATATTTAAATTAAATAATGCCTAAAATCAACAAATCTCCCTTCATTACCTAAATAAACTAACATTGATGTTGACAAGTTGACATTTAATTCCCAAGATCCATTTTGTTTGATCCATCCAGTCAAGTTGCAGGAGGGAACCATGAACTAATGTTATCTACAAGAGCATTCTTCAGTTGAAAAACTCATGTCAAATTTGACTTAAAGAACTCAAAGAATCTGCGTTTAATGCCTGGGTCTGGACTTGGGAATAGCATGTCTTGACTTGGGACTTGGGAGGTGAGACATGAGAACTCTGGTTCCTCCCATATAACAAGTTACTGCAGTGTGAATCATGTCGATAGCCATGACAATGATGCGATACATCATTATTATGCATTTAGTATCAGCAAAATACATGAGATCTACTTAAGGACATTATGCGAGAGACCCCTGTTACTGCCTTTAGCTTCTACTTTCATCTAAAACATATTTTACTCATACTTTGCAAACACCAATGTTGTGATTGTATATTTCCACTGATAGAGAGTCACGAGTGACAACACATCCCCATCCAGTGTTTTGGAACCGGCTGCATTCTTCCATTACACTCAGAGACTGCTTGCTTAAGACATAGAATGCACTACTGTATAAAAGAAGCAGATGAAGAATGCAGGAGATAATGCTTGAAATACAAATATTTACATATTCATCAAGGATACAGTTCTTTCTGATGGCTGAGAGGCTGCAATTTAAAGGGGCACTCCACCAATTTCACATATCACAGTCACTTTGTCATGGTTGGTCCTATTCTGCCTTGTATAATCATGTATTCTGTGAGAAAGTCTAATAACCTCATTGATGTCATATTGATGTCACTGTGGTTTGGAGACTGCTTCTTTCTGAGCTAGGTTTTGAAAGATGCAAGGCAGACTAGGCAGGGAGGAAATTTAGAATGACGCTATTCAGTTGCAGTATCCGGTCCAGTGTGTTCTGGGGCTAGACCTATACATAGCACTGAGCAGGCACATGAAGAGGATGTTAGAGGGTTCGGGGCCAAAATTCATATAAGGTCATTCTGGGTTTTTGTCTCTAATTAAATTGATATCTGGAATGACTACTTTTGTTACAGTGTTTAAGGGACAAACTAAAGCTGTATTGATTGATGATATAAGGTTTCTGTCTCAGTCTTGCTTCAGCTTACGTGTCTCGCGGTGGTTCGCTGCGGGATCGGGGGTCGATGCCAGGTTCGGTCCCAGGGGCGTGGGGTCGGTTGGGGTCTTGGATTGTGGAGGGCACTTGGGAGCGAGACCGAAGCTTTTGGCACACAGACGGCTCGCTGACGGCTGACCCGAGGCCAGCAGGGTTCCCATCCGGACCTGTGAACCACTCGCCTGGCTTGGTCAGGATCTCCTGCTGCTTCCGGCAGTTATTACACACCCAGATCACCTGGTTGAGAAGGAACATGGGTAGAGATTACATTTACAGCTACGTGTTGGGACACAAGGTTTCCTATAGGATAATGGCACATTTATGTTAACATAACATGACAGAGAGTAGAGTGGAGCAGTGAGGATATATTTTTGTAGATGGACCCAGAAGTGAGTATCGCCAGGGCTCAAGGGCTCCCTCGACAAGGCAGGTAAATCTCCACATATTAACATCACTTTTATGATTTTTTAAAAGGTAAAAGCATTCACCTGAAGCAGAAAGGCGTGGCTGTGTGTCACCACCGCTAAGCTAAATGCGGCTAATGTTTTAAAGTGGACCTATCATGCTATATTTGAATAATATAGTGTAGGACCATACCTATATAAGGCATATTTATACTTTTTTTTTTTCAAAATACCAAACAGATCATGCATTTTACCCATGCCTCATTTCGCTCAATTTGACAATTTCTAGCTCTGGGCAGATTCAGTGAGAACAGCACCATCTACTGGCCTGGCATATGTACTACAGCGTCTCCAGCGCTTTCGAACGGCAATGGCCGTGGCTGTCTCCTCCTGATTGGTGGAGTTGGCCCAATAGCCGTAGCGCCACTGTCCTGACGTCAGGACAGTGTTCAAATCTGGATCAGTTTTTATCAGATCCGTTGCAGCCCCTTTTTTAGAGATTTGGGTATGGAGGAAAATAGAGAGGGTTGTGTTTTCTGACACTTGGTGAGTTCCCTGGAACACCGGGGACACATATTCATGTATAAAAGACGTACAAAAGTGCATTTTGCATGATAGGTCCCCTTTAAGTGATGATGTATAGTAGCCTCATTTAGCCACTTGTTAGCAACCGCTGTTTTTAAGTTACATAGGAGCTTTGGACATTCCCCAGTGGGGTATTTATTAACGTATATTTTGTCGTAGAACAATGCGTACACATTTCTAAACATTGTGTTATCATATTTCAGGCTTCCAACCAAAAAAAAAGAATTCATAAAAAAGTTGACTTCGAAACGAGGGAACTGGAAGTGGTCAAATCCTATTTTATGTCTGGGTTTTAGGACTCATTCCTGCACCACTCTATTACAAATTAGAGTTAATTTGTCCAAGCTAATTAAACCAGCTGTCATTAATATCACTATAATGCTTCCAACAGGAAGGAACTATTCTTTGTAACAGCCAGTAAAAACCATCTCAGCACAAACTCTGCCAACCACTAATCAGGCGCCTGGCTTCATCGCAATGACTTTGAAACAGGAAATGGAACAATTTACTTCCTAAAGAGCCTCATTGCTGCCAATGTGTGGTCCAGGAAAGGCTTTAGTGGAAGCATTTTAAGATCAACATCATGGCAGTTACCAGGGAGCAGCTTGGCTTTCACTGTGGGCTGCTTCTGGCCTCCAAATGAAGCGCACAGAGCCAACTGAATAATGAAAGGATATTTGCACGGCCAAAATAATATCTGTCGTTTTCTTTCTTTCTATTTATCCTATCACACATATGCACATCGACTATGCATTGGCTGTGTTCACTCACTACAGCTGAGTGTCCACATTTCAGAGCTTTCAGATCAGTGTGTGTATCAACACATTGTCTGATACGTTAGAAACAGAGCAGACAGTTAAATGCATTTTATCTGGAATTATTCACCATTCATGCACTTTTGTCTCCAAGTTAAAGACAAATAGTTTGAAGGAATGCACTGCCACATCCCACATCAAAGAAAGGGCCATCACCATTAGCTGTGTCAGATGTCAATCATTCAACAAAGAAGTGTACTTATGGGTGTAGCCGGTGGAGGGCGATTCTCAGAATTTTTGCGACATTTGCAGGGTTTTTTTCAATCATGCATGGAGGTGAATATGATTTGAAGCGACACTATGCAAAACTCACAAGAAACGCCTGGCTCATAAAGCTAAATGTTGTTCTATGCGGATAGATTCCTCCTGAAACCAAAAGACGATTACAAAAACGATAAAGCAACAGCGTCTGAAATAACCAACATTTAAGACACTGAGCAATCATACAGGTCAGCAGCCTGTGGTAGTAAGAAAAATGCGGTAATTTTTCCAGACTTAGATATTGCACAGAATACGGCTGTGTTTGTGGAAAACAAATCCATTCCAACGGAATATATTTAATTATTTTACTTGCATAGTTTGGACAATCAATTAACATATAGTAAAGTGTTGTTATTAATATATATTATTATTTTTTTTTTTTCAGGGTTGGCTGGATTTTGTATTTGAATCTCAACTAACTCTTATCACCGCAGTAGTATTTCCCGTATTGTACCGTACAAACATACACGTTGTCCTACATGTGGCTTGTTGGCACCTGGTCACCCGATACACAGCACTACTTCTCATATTTTCGGGGGGTTAGATGCAGTCCCTCTCCTCCAGCCACCAGGGTTCTCGTTACCCCTGAACACTCCCCAATGACTCTTTAAAGCGAGCTAAAATAAAACACTCTGGCATCAGCCACCCTCCAGTCCACACACTCTCTTCTTCCCCCCCCCCTTCATCCTGCTCTCCCTCTTTCAGCCCCCTTTCCTTCTTCCATTTCTCCCTCCTCCAGATTGCTTTTGATTAAAGCTACAAAAGCTGAGGAGAAAACAGCTTTACACCAACGCAGCTATATTTATCCTGCCAAACACCCCAGCACCACCAGGGAGAGAGGGAAAACGTGTGCACAAACACACACACTAAGGCCCAATCCCAAACCACCCCCTACACCCTCCCCCTACACACTACCCCTCCGTTTGCGCGTTCGCTCGGAGGGTCCGCCACATTAAGTGCTGTTCCAAACCATCGAGTGTGGTGCGGTGTGGAGGGGGAGTGGGCTATAAAGCCATCAAACAGCGAGTCTGCATCGGTGCTGATTTGAGATCGGTCACTACCTGACCAGAGTCAACGCTGTGTGTGTATTTACAGACTGTTGCAAAAATTAAGAAGCTTATAAAAATCAGGTTTAAAACTAAAAGAGCTTCACAAAAAAGTAACACAATTAAAGATGTTTGGAGTTTTATTTGAGTTATTAATTTCAATTTTTTGTCAGAGATGCTGATTTGAAACCGTTGTTACATACAGTTACGGCATTTCCTGTTTCTGCCGGAGAGAGGGGAGTTAGTCCCAAAGCTTGCCGTTGTATTTACTCCCTCCATCTGACAGGAGGGAGCCTCGTTGAGCTGCGAGTGTCACTCCACGGAGTTCACTCCGTCACGGAGGGGTAGTGTGTAGGGGTAGGGTGTACGGCGTGGTTTGGGATTGGGCCATACACACATACACACACACACACACACACAGCAAGGAAAGCAAACACACTGTGGGACATTATAGCTCTGGTGAAAACATCCACCAATCTGTGATTTCCTGCAGCCAGCCCGAGGAGGTGTAGGCTGCCAGATGGACCTGCAGAACCAGTCCATACATTGCAAGGCACTGATCACTTGTCATATAGCTTTTCCATTGCATCCTTTAGAGATATCATTTTTTCGCCATTTCCGTAACCGTTTCCTTTCACGTTGGTTTCTAAAGCGCAAGGCTCAAGGGTTGAATCCTACCTGATTAAAGGGACTTCCCAAATCCCACTCATGACAGAGATTTATTTTGTGGTGGAATTAGCTCAGTCCTTAGAGACTTGGCTTAGGAGCCAGTTAAAGTCCCTGAATGACCAAGAGGATTGCCCATGTGCCCTAGAGCAAGGCACCAGACCCCCACACTGCTCTAAGGGTGCTGTGTGCAGTGGTGAAAAGTAATAAAGTACATTTACTTATTACTGTACTTAAGTACAATGTTTTTGCTCCTTTGTACCTTTAGTTACTTTGCACATTTGGATTAATGATGTGAGATATAATCAACACTTAAAAATACTTTAGTTTCACCTTGTGTAAATATTAACAAGCTACCCTGCAGTATACAAAGTCATTAAAACTAGCTGCACCTTATACATTGACACTTAACATTAGGAGACTCCAGTTGAAAATTATTCAATGACCTCCCTTTGTCAGAGTTAGTAGTGTGACAGTAAATAATAATGTTACTTGGCAATACTGAAAGAAAAAAAGCTCTTACCAGTGAATTATACCAGGAATGTTGGCATTTCTCATGATGCAGGTACTTTAATAAACATTTCCTTGTTTTCAAAATATTACCACAAAAAATAAGCAGCACAGCACTGAAAAGCAGCATCTCATGGGGCAATTGTTAATAGAAATAAAGCTAAAACAAACTACATGACTTCACTCATTTATTTTGAAACAAACATTAACAAAGCATTTTTCGAGTCAGCAACTCGCAAGGTAACTGGAAATGTGAAAGTTAGGAGAACTTAGAAGTTAACATTGACTGAACACAATTATTCTGCCGTTCCTCTGTGCTCATGCCATTCGGTGTAGCAATTCCTGTATGGCATCAGACACAGCGGAACCTCGCAGCTCGGGCACATCCAAGACGTCTTCTGGTGCCTCCCCCGGTCACTGCACAGGCTGCACTGCTCACTCCCAACAACCTGGTACCACTTGGTGGGCTCGATGACCACAGGAAGGTGCTTCCATGATGTTCCGCTTAGCCTGTATATCTTTGGTTTGCTTCTCCATGTCGGGTAGCTCCTTGGTGTGTATCCCCTTTGGTTACAATAGTGGCAGCCAAACCTGCATCGCTCGGAAACAGGTCCTCTGAAACCACAGTTTTCTCTGTAGTAGTTTGATGCAGCAGCTCCCCTGGCTCTCCGCTCTCTCCTCGACCGGGCCTGTGAAATTCTTTGGAGTGACGTCCAATATGGTTCAGAGGGTGCAGGAAACAACAATTGCTCTTCCTTTGTATCTACAGGATCCTTCTCATCTGGACTGAAGATAAACATACAGGCGGAAAGGCAGGAATTTAATTTAAAACTGTAACCGGCATTGCAACAGGAAACTTCTTCATATGCTACTACAAAAATAAATGCTGGTTCCAGACTTCTGCATCACTCACAACATGAGCAATTGTTTAAAAAATCTAGGCTAATACTGAAGTAAAAATAAATGTCAGTTGAGACTGGTGATAAGTGCTGCAGTACTCAATTACTGTACTTTAGTATGATTTTGAGGAACTTCTATTTGAGTATTCCATTTCATGCTACTGCCTGGAAGTATAAAACTAATTAAAGTTAGCTTCACCTTTACTTTTTGTATACTTGTTTGTACGAGTTTTAATGCAGAATGTTAGTAATTCTACTCTAGAATTATTACTACATTACTCCGACTACTACACTGCATTCAAAATATGAGGAAAAGTGAAAGTACACAATCATTTGCATCAAAATATACTTAAAGTACCAAAAGTACTCATTATGCAGATTGGTCCATTTCAGAATAATATATTATAATTATAATTATTGTTCATTAAAGTGTTATCAAAGCTGGTTAAGTTGCAGCTAGTTTTAATGACTTTGTATACTGCAGGGTAGCTTGTGAATTGTACTCAAGGTGTCAAGTCCTTTAAAGGGTTGATTCCATTTCCCATCATTAATACTGATTATTAATGAAAAGATAATAAAGAAATAAAATAAATGTAGTGGAGTAAAAGTACATTATATACCTCTGAATTGTAGTGGAAGAGAAGTACAAAGTAGCAAAAACAAATATAAATACTTAATAAAGTACAAATCCCTCGAATTTGTTCTTGAGAACAGTACTGCAGTGAATCTACTTAGTTACTTTACACAACTGTAAATAGAGCCATGTGACGCTAATAATATAACGGTGCCGTTTACTTCAAAAAAACATGCGTAGATGAAGGTACTGCTAGCTAGCCAGAGCATGCAGTCACTTCACTTAATTACAAACACGTCAATTCCACCTGTTGTGGGTAAATGTAACACACTGGAAATGTGAGTTGCCAAACTCACATTTCTCCCATGTCCCTCGGTGACTCCCTCGTTGATACCTCTGGAGAATCCAGCATGTCAGTAGTACTGTATTCAACACGCCTCTCGGTGGTGCAGACGGCGTAACATTCATCCCATGTGGGGTTTTCAGATATATTGTCCATAACAATTCGAAGGCTGTTGACACGTGTGGACATTGTGGATAAAGTAATCAAGTACAATTCTTCTTCTTCTTCCCTTTTTATGGCGGATCGCAAACAGCTTTTGGTTGCATACCGCCACCTCCACGAGTGTGTATCATCATGTCATCCCTCTAATAAACCAGCATATCGAAAAACATAAAACTAAGAAACCATAAAATAAATAAAACAAAACAAAAACAAAAAACAAATCATCCATGATCTATTCTAACCTACTGTTAGATTATTTTCCCTATCCCGGTTTCCCTCAAAAAGGTGAACAGTGGCTGCGTTTCACTTCTCTTATTTTTCATTTCCTCGCTCCTCGGTCTCGGTCTCACCGGAAGTTGATTTTTCTCACTGATTGTAGAGATGGGCGAGTCCTGATTCATCCGGATCATTAACCCGGATCCTAGAAATGAGCTGGTCGTGACGAGTCTCCCCTCTCCATTAACCCGAGTCCTTGAGTCCCACACTTGGTGTGACGTACAAATTAAAACTATAAATTGCGTCACTCGCTACTCTCTTTATAACATGTAAAATCACATTACAACGTACCCCAGTCCAGCTACCTACCCTTTAGCAAGTATACAGGATAGCTGCCTGCCAGAAGTGATCGTTTGGCTCAGGGGAGGGGACGCGGATCAGTGAAACTTCCTGCAGACTCGTGGGGACTCAGAGGAGCCGACGGCTCCTAACCGTAATAGCATAGCAGATCCAGAGATCCATACTCGTCATGTGCACGAGCATAGCCCCTCCTCCAGCACCCGGCTCCCGCGCTATCAACAGCAGACTCGCAGACTCGCAGATTCGCAGATTCGCAAATCCTGACTCGCTGCAACACACAGCGGATCAGACTCGTGCGGACTCGGAGCCGTAACCATATAGCAGCAGATCCAGAGATCCAGCAGACTCGTCGTCATGCACGAGTCAACAGCAGACTCAGATTCGCAAATCCTGACTCACTGTGCAACACACAGCAGAGCAGACTCGTGCGGACTCGGAGCCGTATATAGCAGCAGATCCAGAGATCCAGCAGACTCATCCTCATGCACGAGTCAACAGCAGACTCAGATTCGCCAAATCGCAAAATAACCCTTTTTTTTGTGATCAACATTTTTTATTAAAGCAAAATACACTGTGTAGCGGAGGTTAATATAACGTCAGTTTAATAGATAGATAGATAGATAGATAGATAGATAGATAGATAGATAGATAGATAGTACTTTATTGATCCCAAATTGGGAAATTGTTGTTACAGCAGCATAAAAGGCATTTTACAATAAAACAAAACTACAAAATATACAAGAATAGAAAGAAAAATAAAATAAAATATAAAATATACATGTCGAAATAGAAAATATACATGCAGATATTATATATATATATATACAAATATATATATATATTCAAAATATATGGAATAATAATATGCTCGTGAAATGCATCAACTTTTCGGTTTCACCGATAGGATTTCTACGGTCTTGGTGATGCTGACTCATATGACTCAAATGACTCGTATGATCCGGATCTCTTCAATGACTGACTCAGAAGACCCTGAGTCCGTAAAAGGATCCGGATTTGCCATCTCTAACTGATTGGACGATGCAGCGCATGCAATGATCTGATGCTTCTTGACATGAGAGCAGAGTTTCCCAGCGGAGTGAAGAAAACACATGAAACTCACGGGACTCACTCCTCAGTTTATGCTGTGTTTTGTTTCAATTAATGTGTAATTCAGTTACAAATATGTGATATATCTGAACAACAAAGTGGTCAAAAATCATTTTATTCATTTTTTGGAAACATTTTCATGATCGCTTTTTTCGTTTTACATTTTCATTTATTGTCATTTCCATTCAGTCAGTCATTAAAGGTAGGGTAGGTAAGTTTGAGAAACCAGCTCGAGATCGCTAGAATTTGAAAATACACAACCGGAGAAAATCTGCCACTTCCTTATAGAGCCCCTCCTCCAACACACACGAACGCGCATATGACCAATGAGGGCACGAGATAAGTTTGTGCACAGATGGAAGGCTGACAGGCAGGTAGGCCATCCAGTTATTTTAGCCGGGCCGGCTCAGATGATTGGTCGTGCTTTTTACAGTATTAAGGCTTCCACAGATGACATTTTTTTATGGATTTTTTGTCAAAGCACTTAAGATATTCATTGCTATCGGGATGTTAAGAGCATTCCATGGAATATAACAAAAAGTGTATCTCGAGCCGGTTTCTCAAACTTACCTACCCCACCTTTAAGTGCTATTTAAAATGTTAATTTGCTACATATCCACACAAACAAACAAAGTGTGCAATCCAATGAATGTTAATCTAACTGGGTTTTGATAGATAACATATCTCTTTTTCTTCTCTCAATTATTTTATTTCTATTGTGCACTCTAATCAATATTAATCAAACTAATGTTCGTTTATACATTTTAAGAATGGCGTTTATCTTTTTTGAGAATGAGTTCTTATTTGATTTTATTTATTTGGGTCTACAACAGATGATACAAATGTTTGTGTCAGTAAATGTGTACTAACAGAGGCGCGGGTGTTTGTGAAAACAACGGGGACAGAGCTGCTGTCAGACGATCAGCTGTGCAGCGTCATCACAAACGGACGTCGCTTCACGTGACGCTCCGGAGGAAAGGACGTCCCATTGCTCTTAAAACTCATTTCCCTGCTTCTCGTGGTTTCCTTGCGTCTCTCCATGCTTCCCTGGTGGGAGGGACTAGTCGCAGGGAAACGACGCAAGTGAGGGACGCAAGGAATCCATTTAACCGAAGTGAAACGCAGCCAGTGCCTTTCTGGTAGCTCTTACTCCAACCGCAGTGACGCGTCCTAAAACCCGGAAGTAAGTTAGCATTTTTACCACGTCCGGTTCCTTCTACAAAAAGCAATGCAATTTCTCCATAGGATTTTGGAAAATAGCTGAAATAAGGTCTGTGTTTGACACAAATTGAAGAGACAGATCACGTTTTGTTCTACGACATTAAATACATCAGCAGTGACCCCGCTGGTGATTTTTGAAGAGTTTACGTGTCTGAAAAACGATGGTTGTTAACATGTGGCTGAATAGGACTACAGAAGTTGTCCAGGCCGTTTTACGTCATTACACCGAACACGTAAAACGTTTGTTTGCCCTGTTCTGCTAGAAAGCAAGTACCTGCCTCCTGCAAACTGTTCAAACAAACGCTTCAACTTGTACCATTTAGAATCTGTATGTTTGAATATGGATCTTAAGTTGGCGTGACGTTGAAGCAGCGACCCTGCTGTAGTTCGTTTATAGCATAACGTTAGCATTTTGCTTCTGGCGACTAGATTTATGATTAGAAAATTATAAAAGTAGGGTAGACATGTGGCTATTATCCGGCTGAACAAAACGTGATCCGTCTCTTAAATGTGTGTCAACCACAGACCTTATTTCGAGCTATTTTCCAAAATCCTATCAAATCAAATCAAATCAGGTTTTATTTATATAGCACATTTAAAAGCGATTTTTGGTCGAGCCAAAGTGCTGTACATGTAATAAAAACACATTACTACAATCACAACAGATATATCTTGAAAAATAAAACACACGGAAAAGTCAGGAGTCGTGCTCCGCTCTAACTAGAAAGCCAGAGAGAAGAAGTGTGTTTTTAGTTTAGATTTAAAAACCCCTAGGGTCTGGGCCGACCTCACATGGAGGGGCAGAGTGTTCCAGAGCCTCGGGCCAGCTGCTGCGAAGGCTCGGTGCCCTCGGGTTTTTAGCCTGGTCTTGGGCACTACCAGCAGCAACTGGTCAGCAGACCTTAAAGCTCTGGCTGGGGTGTAGCGCTGGAGCAGTTCAGTTATATAGGCCGGAGCCAGCCCATTTAGTGCTTTAAAAACAAATAAAAGGATTTTAAAATCAATTCTGAACCGAACTGGAAGCCAGTGTAGTGAGGCCAGAATAGGGGTGATGTGGTCACGCTTTTTGTGGCCAGTCAGCAAACGTGCAGCAGCGTTTTGGACTAGCTGTAGGCGTTTAATTGAGGCCTGGTCCATACCCACATACAGAGCGTTACAATAGTCCAGTCTCGAGGTTACAAAGGCGTTAATAACCCTTTCTAAGTTATTAAAAGATAAATACGAGAACCCCACAGGTAAGAGGGGCTTTGGCAGAGGAGAAGGCACCTAGCTGCACTGAGAAGCTACGGTCTGTCAGGTAGGACCTGAACCATGCAAGGGCAGAGCCTGTGATGCCAGCGGACTGTTCAAGCCGTGACAGCAGGATGCTATGGTCCACAGTGTCAAAGGCAGCTGTCAGGTCTAACAGCACCAAGGACAGCTGGAGCTACCTGAGTCGGCGGCTAGGAGCAGATCATTAAAAACTCTTAAAAGGGCTGTTTCAGTGCTGTGCATGGGTTTGAAGCCAGACTGAAACTTTTCATGGATTCCATGGATGGTTAAAAAAGACTGCAGCTGGGCGTAGACTACTCGCTCCAGGGCTTTTGATAAAAAAGGTAGCTGGGAGATGGGCCTAAAATTTGCGAGAATGGAGGGGTCGAGATTTTTCTTTTTAAGGAGTGGCTTAACCACGGCATGTTTGAAGGCAGCTGGGACACATCCTGAGCTAAGAGAGGTGTTTAAAAGTAATAAAATACTTGCTCCAACTGAATCAAAAACATCTCTGAGAAGGCGAGAGGGAATGCTGTCTGAGGTGCAGTTTGTCGGCCGCAGGTGCTTGACTACATCCGAGAGAGAAGAGAGGGATACAGGCTCAAAGTGGTCGAGGACAGCAGGGCACAGAAAAGGAGCAGGATCTGGGGTAGCGTGGGCTGGCCTAAGAGCAGATACCTTTTCAATAAAAAATGTAAGAAACTTATCACAGAGAGTAGTCGATGGGACAATAGAAGAAACATCACAGGGATTAATGATAGAGTTGAGGACATTAAAAAGAACCTGAGGTTTATGGCTGTTTTTGGAGATTAACAGAGAAATGTGCTCTGTTTTGGCTGCTTTGACTGCCGTCTGGTAGTCAGAAAGGCAAGCACGAAGGATTTCTAGGGAGACATG